AATTCCTGGATCAATTCGTGTTTTGACAATACGCCACGTGAAGGCACTCCTCTGGGAAGTTTTTGAAAATGTATTGATGTAAGGGTCAAAACACGAACTGGTCTGGGAATCTGGAATCTGGAATTGTGGGGAGGGTAGCAAAGCTACAGCACTTAGGCCCGATTGGGCCCCTTGTACGTCCTCCCATTAGAGAGATCAATCCACCTGAGCCACCAACCAACCTATTACAGTGAAAAAGGTGGTGACGTTGCTCAGGGGGGTCTCTCTAATATAGGCCATTGAAGGCTAGCGTTCTCCCAACATGGACTCTGACGAGTCCTTGACGAGACTTGACGAGACGGCAGTGCATTCACATAGTAAATGCAACACCGTCTCGTCTTCCTGTTCACAGCCCCTACAAAGAGGTGATTCACACTTCCCCATATTGTAAAGGTGTTTCCTTAGCCAACAGTGTCCAGTTTGAATACCTGTCACCAGGCGAAGATTTGACCTAGACATAGCCAGGTATTTTTTGGCTGTGTTTTTGCTAGAATACACTAAGAACTCCTTAGCAAAGTGGCAGCTGATTGTTTCATCCCTCCGTTTCATAAATTCTTAGTGGGTGTCTTCCTTGATAATTCCAACAAGTGCCGACAACGGAAGCACACTGGAGGGGCCGGGTCCAAAAATGTTGAGGCCCGATGCGCTTCTGGCTAGCTTGTCAGCTTCTTTATTGCCATAGTACTGCTCGTGTCTCTTTACCCAGCATACATATATGCTGTTAGCGGCCGAGGCTACAACCAGTGCTTCATGGCATTCCCATACTGTCCTAGTCATTATCATATGATTACGCAAGGTCAGTAGTGCTTGTCTACTATCCGTGTAGATTCTGATGGTTTTGCCCGTAGTATGCCTGCGGGCAATTTCCTTCGCGGCTATGGTTATGCCTGCTAACTCCGTTTGTACAGCAGTAGCATGCCTATCCATTGCCCACTGATATCGGATGTGCAGGGATCTAGAGTATATTTCCTGCACCCTCCTTCCTTTTTGATCCGTCTGTGAAAATACTAATTACATCTCCACGGGCGGTCTCCTCCTGTCTCTTAATGAGTACGGTGTAGGGTTTATCAAATGCAAACCGAGGAGAAATACTGTCAGTGTCTGCCTGCAGGAGGGACGTCTTCCTGACGACCTCATTCCACAGGCGACTTCTGACTTCTCCACGTCCTGCAACCGGTTTTAAGCCAACGTTCTCGAGGCGAAGCATGGTTGTCAAAGCCATTTCTCTTAGATAAATATCCAGAGGTGGCAGACACAGCATTACCTCCATTGCTATGGTAGGTGTTGTACGCATAGCTCCAGTTATGCTCAGACAGGCAACCCTTTGTACTTGGCTGAGCTTTTGTTTAGCTGTCGTCTGCTGGAATTTCGGCCACCAGACGACAGCCCCATAGGCCAACATTGGTCTCACTATGGCAGTGTATATCCACATAACCACATTTGGTTTCATGCCCCAGGTTTTGCCAACGGTTCTGCGGCACTGCTCATAGGATATGTACACCTTTTTTAATTTTATCTCAAAGTGAAGATTCCATGTTAGCTTTGCATCGAGTGTAACCCCTAGGTATTTCACATCAGATGCAAAGCTTAGCGTAGTGTTTAGGAGAGTTGATGCCTTTGTTGGCCCCAATTTTCTCTTCCTTGTGAAGAGGACCATTTCCGTCTTCCTGGGGTTCACTGACAGAGCATGGTCCTCACACCACTTTTCAATAATTCTCAGAGCTGTTTGCATTCTTTGGCAAAGGATCCCTTCGAATTTATCGCTAATCAGCATAGTGAGGTCATCTGCATAAGCGATGGTATAGATGCCTTCCGAGTTGAGGTGGCACAAGAGACTGTCTAGAACTAAGTTCCACAGCAGTGGTGATAGAACACCTCCCTGCGGATAGCCCCTTGCAACAATTCCTCTCGCGGAGGCATCCCCCACACTTTTTTGATAACTCTTTTTGTGAGCATATTCGATATCCATCTGCAGATGGTGGAAGAAACCCCTCTCTCCATGAGAGCCGAGTTGATTTTGGGAAAGGACGTTTTGTCAAACGCCCCTACTATGTCAATGAATACCTCCAGGGTGGACTCCTTATTGTCCAAAGATTTCTCGATCCTACCCACCACCTGATGGAGAGCAGTATCGGTAGATCGCCCTGGAGTGTGTGCATGTTGATTAGGGTGTGGCTGTCTGTCCATCAGCACACTATCCCTTATGTATCGTTCACACAGCTTTTCCATCGTTTTCAACAGAAACGAGGTCAAGCTGATGGGTCGATACGCCTTTGGGGAGGTATAATCCAGCCTCCCTGTTTTGGGAATGAATACAACCCTTACCTCCCTCCAGATCTTTGGAATGTAAAGGTGTGCAAAACACAGCCTTAACATCCGCTCCAGGTGCGGCATTAAAACATCCAAGACCCATTGTAAGAGGGCTGGATATATACCGTCAGTGCCTGGTGATTTGAAGGGTGAGAAGGTCTGCATTGCCCATCTAATTTTGTACTTAGTTACAGTTTGGCTGGCAATCTGCCAATCCAAGACTGCGGGTGGGTTTTCAATTTCGTCTGGCCAATCTTCCCGTTGCATTGACGTGGATCCCTGGTCTGGGAATTCTGACTTTTGTTTCGGATTCAAAAGGTACCATAGCAAACACCGGTCTGGTCTACGGTCCAAATTACTTTTTTTGTGGTGCTCGATTGCCATGAGAATAGTTACCACTTTCACTTCTTTAAAATTAATAAACGCCTGTTAATGATCGACCTGATCTTTGTGTCAGACCATAGTTTTCGAAAACTCCAAATACCAACATTGATTCAGCTCTTCGAACCCATTTTATTTAGCACCAAGAAGTGCTAAGTGCATGTAGTAGTAGATTGGGGCGGCCTCAGCCTGGTAATTAGGCCACCCCGTAGTTGTTGTATCACTTATCCGCTGTCAGCCTTTGACCCTCCTACAACCTTCCTGATACGCTGATGAACCAGCCAGGTCTTTCACCTTATCCGCTTGCAACTCTTCAGTATCAAACATTGTGTGCCTTAACCTCCCGAAGGCTGCGCAGTGTCCCAGAATATGGATAGAGGTATTCTCCACTTCTCCATATTTCCGGCATAAAGGGCCCTCCTCAATTCTTATTAAACTTAAATCTGCAAGAGCCTATCGGGACCCACACTAATTGGTTTAGGGCTACTTGACCAAGGCTCAGTAGCCTTCCGTCTTAGATTTGTTAGGCCCATATAATAAAGCTATGGGTCTACCTACATCCTCTGTTCATTCTCCAATTTTGACCTAATGTTTGATAGGCCTATTTGTTAAGGGCAGCGTTAACGCTACCTCGTGTGATTCCTGGGATTGATTCAGGTTCTTGGCGAGGCTCCCTGGATCCAAGACGAGCCAGTTGGTCTGCTCTCCCGTTGCCAGGAAAACCAAACCAACTCTACTTATATTTGTCTGGCATCTCTGCACTCCTGTCAGTCGGGGCAGATAAAAATCCTCTCCTTTACACAGTTCCTTACCTCTTCCTTACTTGCCACCATCAAAATAGCGAAACCCTCTGCCAAAAATACTGTGGTATACATACCCATTGAAAAACTTTAGTACCTACATGTAAGTTGTGTAGAAATTTTAGGCGTATTAAAGATTTGATTATTATGTACCAGTTTCTATTATTACAGTACAGTTTTTTTTATAGATGTGGCCTTATTTAGTACAAGTATCTGGCTCCTCAAGTTTGAATGTTTCACACATTCCCTTATAAGTTTTAACATCTTTGCGTTTACCAGTCTTCACAAATATCATACCATTGATCCACCTGTGGATTCTTAAAGCATTATCTCTTGCGCATAGTTTAACAAACAAAACTATAAGCAATTAGGTGTTCGACGTTTGAGCGTCATTCTTTCTTACGTTAAAACTGTACGAATTATTATGGCGAATGAATCCGTATGCTCTGTATTTATCCGTATGAATATAAATTCGTATAAATGAATCCGTATTTATTCTAAATAGAACCATAGCCACTAAAGAAATCGCCCGTAGGCACACTGACGGTAAAATCATCACATCTACACATATAGACAAGCAAGATAATGACTAGGTCAGTATGAAAATGTCACCAGGCACTGGTTGTGACCTCAATTTCCAACAGCATATCTGTAAAGGGGCACGAGCGGTGCAATGGCAATAAAGAAGCTGACAAGATCACCAGGAGTACATAAGGCCTCAGTATTTTTGGACCCAGTCCCTCCAGGAAAACACCCACAAAGAATTTATGAAACGGTGGAATGAGTTCTTAGAATACCCTAGCAAGGATACAGCCAAAAAATACCTGGCCATGTCTAGGTCAAATCTTCGCCTAGTGACAGGTATTCAAACTGGACACTGTTGACTAAGGAAGCACCTTCACAACATGAGGAAGTGTGAAATACCTCTTTGTAGGAGAGTAATGCATGTGGCATGCGAATGCACTGCCGTCTCATCAAAAGGAATCCGTATTGGGAGAACGTTGGCGTCCATGGCCTATATTACCGATATTAGAGAGATCCCCCTTGAGCAACGCCACCACTTTTTTCTGTTTAATAGGTTGGTTAGCGGCTCAGGTGTAATGTTCTCTTAATGGGAGGAAATATAAGGGGCCCAACGGGACCTAAGTGCTGTAGCTTTTTAAACTATCCTCCTTAAAATTCCAGATTCCAATTCAATTTTTGCCAGTTTCATGATACTCTTAAATCAATTTGTGTACAGCAATATAACATATTTTGAAGGCTATTGGCATAAATTTTTTTATATAAAATACATATTTAGCAAAATAGAACTACTATCAATTGATATCCATATATACTTGGTTGTAAATAAATAACACGACAACTAAATTACGAATTAAACATTATTTTTGTGATTAGAGCTATAATACCATGTATTTGCAAAGCCCACAAGGACGCGGTTAATTATGTATAACCAGCTGAACTTTGACAATGAACAATATACGAATATCTTCAGTTTACGTTACTTTTAGTCTGTTTCGTTTTGTGACTCTGCTACTACAATTCAGAAATGCCAGAAAATGAAGACAAGGCATTGCTTACGGAGGGTGAAAGATTGCATTTTCTAAACAAATTAAAAACGCGTTTAAAAGGTAAGAATAAAGAAATTTAGTTTAACATTTTCATCATTTAATCATTAAAAATTTCATCAATAATTTAGTTTACCCATTAATCATTTTTGATACCACAGAAAAATGGTTGATCTATTTTTAATTCTCGCAATATTAAAATAATTTTACTCACACGAAATGATAAAATATACAATAGTGTAAATACTATTTTGAAGTATAATTTAATAGCATTAACAGTTCCGTCATAAGTACAATACAGTATTTTTTTTTTAAATTTATTTTATGGCTTCTGGTACGAATACATTCGAGCTTGGGCTCGTATACGAATGATTTTTAGCTCATTTTCCCCAGAATTAGTTAGCATAGGAAACTAGTTAAATAAATAATACATTTCAGCACTGAATCAATCTAAGAATCCTCCGAAGGAATTTATATTGTGTTCACAGAAAAGATCTAATGTACTTCTTTGTTTCAGATGAACAAAAATTAGAAAAACTTCAGACGAACGACCCTTGCCTTGAAAAATTTTTGTATGGCACGGATTTTGATGTGGATGCAGCATTTAACAAGGTAGTAAATATTTAGATTTTTATTTAAGTGCCAAAATAGTTATTGATCTGCCCAAACCAAGAAGTTGTACTTTTATGGACGAGCCTGCAACAAGTTGGCGACGTCATAGAGGGGTGGTGCTGTATATTAATGATGAACAGTATAGAATTATAACTATCGAAGTATATAGTAGGTACCAAATTATTCGGATTATTCGGTAGTACAAAAAGTATTTGAATGAAAATAGTAATAGTTCCACACCACATGTCACTGATTCACTAAATTAGCAGTTACTAGTGTACAGGTAGACACGTGTGGGCACTGGTTAATGTCGGTAGATGAAAGACGAACACAAATGTAACAATCGATCATTATTGATAGATAAACTGATAAATAATCTATCTTCCTAAAAATAAATACGACAATCATAGTCCTGCGTGGAATGAATTTATTCGAATGAATTTATACGATAATAATTCGATACGATAATAATTGATATCTACTAATTACTAATTATGTATATGGTTAGCTGAGTTCAGTCGATAGTACCCATCACCAGTGTACAATAAATTTTTCGTCAATAATAATACTTGCGATTCGCTTCGTTAGTCAATATCTTTGGTTCACTGTCATTTTTTAGATGTCTTACTATTTCACGGATAGAACTGCTTCATATGGGAATTACTTCACATTCACTTTTAATTCACGTACAATTTAGTAGCCAATATTCGCCCGTGTTTTCAATGTCACACGTTTTAAGTACATTTGACGTAAAAACTGTAAAAAGTAACATTTCTCGCAAGGAATTGTATTCGTAAAACTGCTCCTTATGATGGAAACATATCTCAATTTAAGAATATTATTGTCTATAAAAGGGATGTAGTTAATATTAATATTACTACTTAACAAAATAGTACTGATACATTTAAATNCTCGTTCAAATTTTCTAATTCCATATGCAAATCTAAAACAACTATTTTGAATTCGCTGCAAACGCTGAATATCGGAGTGTAGTAGAGCTGGGCCATAGATACAGTCACAGTATGAGAGCTTTGAAAATATTAAAGAATTACATAAACTGATTTTTAGAGATGAATCCATGATGGCACGATGGGGATAAAATTGCTTTAATGTATTATACGATGATCGACACAGATTGTTTACATGCTTGGTAAATCTTAGCTCCTCATCAAACCAAAGTCCCAGATTATTACACTCATTGGTAAAATTTAAAGAAATATCTCCTAATTTTAAATTCAATTCCATTTTCGCCATAATACGTTTATTTTTAGGACCAAAAATTATGACTTTAGATGTGTCAGGATTTAGCTTCAATCTATGAGCAGCAGAGATATTTAACAATGAGTTTAAGTTGTAATTAATACAATGATTAAAAGCAGCTAAGTCCGTAATACGACAATTGAGATACACTTGGGTATCATCAGCGTAATGATGCACAGAACATTTATTCAAAAATGTATAAAAATCCGCTCTATAAATAGAGAACAGCAGGGGCCCTAAAATGGACCCCTGAAAAACCCCATGAGTCACTGGCAAGACGTCAGACACATTAGAGTTTATGATTACTTGCTGTGTTCTGTCAGACAAATAACTAAAAATGTAGGAAGCAGCACTATTATCAAAGCCAAAGTATATTAACTTTTTAACAAAGGATAGACTGGTCCAATGTGTCGATCGCCTTGCTATAATCTAAAAGAATCAAGGACACATTCGCTTTTAATTCACGTACAATTTAGTAGCCAATATTCGCCCGTGTTTTCAATGTCACACGTTTTAAGTACATTTGACGTAAAAACTGTAAAAAGTAACATTTCTCGCAAGGAATTGTATTCGTAAAACTGCTCCTTATGATGGAAACATTTCTTAATTTAAGAATATTATTGTCTATAAAAGGGATGTAGTTAATATTAATATTACTACTTAACAAAATAGTACTGATACATTTAAATCTACAATAGTTGCTTATGTACGAAGATCAAAAAGGGATATTTTACAAGCTGAGCACGCAAGTTTCAGCTGAAATGCGTGAGAGACTCTGTACTTTCTGAATGTGGTGCGTACAATATTCTTTGTGTGACCGCTAGTAATTTGTCAATAATAGAAATACAATAGAATATTGGTCACAAATTTAAATCAAATCATGGTATTTTATTCCAAATAGAATTTTTTATATACTCTTCCGCCATGGTAGCAGATTTTCGTCTCCGGTAACGCTTCAAACTTCTGAATTTTCACCCTTCATCTATATCAGTAATACGGCTGAAATACTACACTAACAGTAGTGGATAAGATATTTTTAGATATGTAACTAATTTGTAAGAAACATTTTGTATTGAATGAATTCCAATAGTTTAAGTAGGTAGTATGTTTACTGTTTTTAAATATCTGCGATGTGTGATTTTTTTAGACGTTAAATAATTTCTGTATAATTCTAAATTAAATTTATCGACGACAAATGTGCTCTGTATATTTGTTTCTGTATTAAGAATTTTTATTATTAGCATATCATTCTTATCTTCCAGATTATCTACAATAATTTTTATTAATTTGTCACGGTGATATGTGCCGCACAAGCCACATACTAGTATAACCATTAGATATACAAGAATACAGGACAAGGGGGTTCGTCTAATTGTGGATATTATCCACAGTTTTAAGAAAGTTGGGCAGACCGCGGCCAGGAGACAACGCGATCGATGTCTTCACATCTACGAAAGCATGCCTTAGGAAGAGGCAAATTGTTACTTAAACTGTTATAATAGGGTAATAAAAGTATTATTTATGTAAACGTGAAATAGATAAATGTGACATTTATCTATTTCACTTTGACAATCCTTGCGACTAGTTTCGAGGTCAAAATTACACCTCATCATCAGGTATACAAGGATATCAATACCTTTTAAATTAATCTCCTTTTATAGTGACCTGATGATGAAGTATTATTTGGACCTCAAAACTAGTCGTATATCTACAATAAAGGATTGTGAGAGTTAGAAGACTTTTACATTCCCACTGGTATTACTTATGTAATATGTAATAATGAAAAATGAGAAATTTGTTAGATCTGAAGGCGTCGAACGCAATGCTCCCTAGATCCTGATAGCCTAGAACCGTCAAAATTTTGTGGGCAAGTGTCGGCCCTTACTTTGACTTATCTGACAGCAGGGTGATCATGATTAGAAATTTCTGTTAAAAATTGATTTACCTCTTGTCTACTAAAACTCTGAACTTCTTTGATTTATATTTCGTAGAATTTTTCTTTGGGAATGGTATTAATTTCGGAAATTTGCTCTAATATTATCTAATGTTCTTCTTTGGTATCAACATTGATGATGATACACTGATGAATGATTTTTCAGCTAAATAAATTAAAAGAACCTCTTCACCTAGTACCATTATTTCTTCTTTTTACACAATTCTTCGAAAAAATCATAGGCTTTTTTATACCTTTCCTTGAATTTCATCACTTGCGTCAGTTCTAATATCGAATGGAACGTTTTCTTCGTCATTTTCATCGCAATTAATGTTTAAACAACGTAGAGACTAAAAATATGAACGATAAAAACTTCTACTAGTTAAAGTGAAATATTCACATAAATAACGATGATATGCCTTAAAAATTATACTATTTATGGTACGGGATAAGTAACTTATCCCATTTTTACACAAGTCTATAGCAGGAGATTAAGTGATTTTATTTTATCAGTTTCCACACATTCCATATTTATACAAAACGAAGAGAGTACCTACATTTTAAATCTACATCTGCAATAATATTTAAATTTTTCTTGCACCAAATTCTTAAAATATCGAGTTAATGATTAACTAACAAAATAAATATAATAGATTATATTTGTACTAGCAGACTTCTAAGAATATGTACAGAGTGTTTATAATTGCGAATGCCAAATTATACGTTAAGTAAATACCTTAAATCTTGAGAAGTCTAGTAGGTACATATATTCCTAGAAAGCATGTTCGTAAGGCTAAGATCCGGTAATTATAGGTGACCATTCTCTTTTTCAATTCCTAAATAAATCCGTTTTTAAAAGATTCCAAATAATTTTTAAGTTTATGTTAAAATATCTCAAATATCTCAAAAACCGTTTGAGCTAATTCATAAGTTTATAATCGTACTCTTTCAATCATTACAGATAACCAATTATTACGAGCTGGTATTACAGTATCCAGATTGGTTTCCCATTCTAGGACCACTAGACAAAAAGTCGATAATAGACAAAGATGTAAGGATGATGTTACCACAGTATGATAAGGAAGGTCGTGTCATTTTTATAGCAAAATTGGGTAAGAAAATTTTCTCTGTTAGTTATGTTACTAGAGTATTTAAAATTTATTCACTAAAGACCAGTTTTGAACTTCATGCAGTGCCTGTCTATGCTTTCTTTAACATACTTGCGTAAGTTATCACTCTATGTCATCCCATAACTTTTTTATACATATATACGGTTATATTAATATATCCTGTCGAATTCGAATGAAATGAATATATAATTACCTTTTTCATATTTGAAGGAACTTTCGAACATCTCATATATAAGTGCATTTAAACCGCAAAGGGGTTATGAGGTTGTCAGTAGGGTGAAGACCAAAACAATGTTACGTACGTCATTTTCTTAAACGCTATGTACACTCAACGTATCTACATTTATTTTTTAGGAAACACGGACATGAGCACGATGAAATTATTCGATATGATAGGAATAGATGATATCTTGCTTGAATCAGTATTAGCGAGCAAACCACGTATAGCACAAAAAGGTCTGTGTGTTATAATGGATGTCGCTGATTACCCATGGAAGATGTTGAAATGGTTAACGCCCGAAAACATTAAGTTGTGTATTAGAAAAATAATGGCATTGCCATTTAAGGACTATAGAATCCATATAGTTAATACGTCAGTGGTAATTCACGTAGCAATCAAAATAACTTGGCCACTTTTACCAGCATACATAAAGGAAATGGTTAGTAACACAAAACGAATTGATTACAATATCAAACAATGATTATTATCTAATTTAGCAATATGTACATCCTCAAAACCCAAAATGTTTACAGAAATATGATTCTGTAATACCCATTTTTCTATGGGAGTGGGGGGGAAGGGGGAGAAGGAATTAATCATCATTAACGTTAAATGACAAAATGATTACATTATTGCATAAAACACTACATTTAAATTCAAGGTGATTATGATGTTTGAGATCCCACAGGAAAAAATAGGTTTGTTGCCAAACTGCTCAAAATGAGTTAATAACACCACAAACCTCAAAATATCTAAACCGAATAGAAGAATTGGCTTATTTATATATTTTATATATAGAGAGGACAATTTAATTACTAGATAATTTAATTAAGCAATATTATGACGCTATATAAATTATTAAAACTTAACCATTATAACATTCTAAATTCTAAACATTCTAAGGTTAATGTGGTACTTGAAACTGACTTATCCTCAAAAAATGGTTGGCAAAGTCTCTATATTTGTTGCCAAATATGAACATAAATTTATTAATATATTATCTTTTAATTTTTAGATCAAATTTCACTTTAACGACTGGGATTCCCTTTATAAGTACATTGACAAAGAGGTTCTTCCTCTAGAATATGGTGGAACGTACAATATTAACTACAGTGAACTACATGAAAAGTTGTATGAAAAGAACGAAGAAATATTAGCAATTACAAAATTTCGAAGAGAAGTAGCATTTGGATGAGACTTCCACCTCCACCATATTCGTATATTTCTGGTGTGGAAATTGCTGGAGGATAATTTTTTAAAGTTTGCGATAGCAAGATAACTTATCTGTCAATAGTATCTTGTGAATTATCTGCCAAATTATATTAATACAACAATTAAATATATGTAGAATAGTTCAATAAATTGTTAAATATGGAATACATATTAGTCATTAAAAGCACCTGTAGTAGGTATTAATTGCCATTCTATATTGTGGTCCAACAGATTGAGAGTGTCAAATTTATCAACAAAGATTTTGTAATGTTACAAGGATCTCGAAAATGTTTAAAGTAGTACAAATATAATGCGTATCAACATTCCGCGGAGAAAATAATAAATTTATATTCCCTTAGATTTTATTATAAGAAAAGTGAAATTCGATCTTTTTAAAAATTAGCTGTTACCCAGTTCTATTCAAAAAAATCCTAAAATTAACTGGTGTAAATTTTAAGCGCTCTGTGCAATAGTTAATTTTCTTAACAAATATCTTATTTTTTCATATAATTGCTATATTGTTTCTGATTAATTTGACATGAATCGTGGGAATGACACAGCAAAAAAAATAATTTCATGTGATTAATTCGTCTGCAGGCTACTTATAAGTTCGATAGAAATAATAAAATGATTATGTTAGTTGTAGAGAATAAAAAGATTTACGTAAATAAATATGTACAAGTTCGGTAGATTTTACTTTATTTAAAAGTATTAGCTAATTTAAATAAATTTTAAAAAAATTCTAAAAATCTTAAAAAGTCAAACAGTGGTTCAATCCAGAAGATATCTAATCTAATATGCAAGAATTAGAACAACAAAAATACATATTGTTATGGGTATGAATATGTCTTTGTGTATGCGCCAAAATTTTTATGAGTATTATGCAAAACCGTACTTATCTTATCAACTTCGACGTCACCTGTTACATGAGTGTTGTATAATATTGAAAAAGTAATATTAACGGTCGGTGCAAGGAAGCGCAGGAAGCGGGCGCTTGGGGGGCATTCTGGAGGGAGGCCTGAATGGTTGAAGCACAGTATACTAATCAATCAGTAGGGAAAGTTACGTTTCCCGCGTCTTCCATATTTCCACCATTTTGTTAGCGACTGACAGTTATTACGATTTCTGTTCTCATATTTTCATTAATAAATCTAGTATGTTTTCATTAATGTATATGTATCTAACCTCACTTAAACCTTCTTATATCTCAGCTTTATGCATTAAAAACCTTATTTTATGATGTCGAGTAGTTGTTCAGTTTAGTTATCTTGTTCTTGTGTATTTTATTAGTGATTATTTATTTATAAGTAATACTATACCCAGTAAATAGTTAATAATGAAATAAAAATTATAGTAAACATTTTAAAATATGTTTAGAAAATAAATACGCTTTCGTAAGTTTTTGAACAAAATTTATAAAATTCAGACCGATATAATCTAATCTAAATTATTTCTGCTGGAAATCAAATAACTAAACCTGTATTTAACCAAAAAATGTAAACTTCTCTTAATAAAAAAAAAACTCAATTTACGTGTAACACTACTATATAGCTAACAATCTCTATTACCTCGGATTATAATAATTAATTAGAAATTAATGTATAATAATTAAAAGTATTAAAACCAGGAAAAATAACAGGTTATGTTTACTGTACTACTAGAGGTAGCTTGCCATTGCAAAAAGTGTGGCTGAGGGACAGACAGTATCTCAGACTTGCTGTCTCACTCTAGCACGCCGCGATTGGTTGGAGCATTCATTTCCAACCAATCGTGACGTGCTAGAGTGAGACAGCATGTACTGAGGTACTGTCTGTTTCTCTCGCACACTCAGCCACAATTTTCGCAACGGCATGCCTCCAGTAGTATATGCTCGAAGGATCCGCCATATTCTTAGCGACTTTTCCTAAAAATTGCCATATGGAATTCATTCATAAATCATTTAAGATTCCCTACTGATTGATTAGTATACTGTGGGTTGAAGATAGGCAGTTGACGTGAGAACAGTGTGCAGATAGGTAAAGATGTTTTAAAATCTTATGAGCTTTGACCTTCATATGCGCAGAAACATAATTCCGACCGTCGCCTAAATTATTCTACGTCCTAAAAACATTACACCTATTATTCACATTCTCTCTCGAGCACTAGAGTAAACAAGCCTTTGATCCGATTACAAATATCATAATAAAATTCCCTATTCTTTATTGTTTTAATTTAAACAATAAAAATATATATATATAACGAACGTTCGCCAGTTGACTTTATTGATGCCCGAGCGCCTTAGTTCATTTCTACTTGTAATGATGCACATGGTCTAGTTCTGAGTCAATGTTTTCACAACGTGCTTATTAGAAGAATTATGGGGATACGCCACGCCTTTCGCGCATTTCGCGGCTCATGAGATATTAAAAGACCTCTAGCAAGACGATCGGCGGGCAGTGTGTCAAAGTAGTGAAAAATGTGAGTGTTTGGCCGGTGTTGGTTGGCAGGTAATATACTTTAGGTACTTTGTTGTTGGTTGTTCTATGTGATCTTATGATTGTGATGGTTATGGATGTTTCATGATAGTGATTCTTTGTATGTTTAGCTTCCATTGCTTTGTTCTCAGGGGGGTATGTTTTTCTGGGGTAAAATTGTTATAGTTGTTCTTGGAGATTGCTCATTATTTATTTCATGTTAATGTATATATATTGTCGTGGCTGCCAGACATTGCAATGGCGACTTCTTTGTTTCACATCTAACTTGTTTTTGTCATGATTGCGTTGTTCGAGAAACATGGATGTTTCATGATGGTGATTCTGTGTATGTTTAGCCTTTATTGTTTTGCGCTCAGGGGCGTATATTTCTCTGGGATAAAATTGTTACAGTTGTTATTGGGGATTGCTCATTATTTGTTGCATGTTGGAATATGTATATATTGTCGTGACTGCCCAGATATTGCGTTAACTTCTTTGTTTCACATTTGACTTGTTTTGTCATGATTGCGTTGTTCTTTGATTTCTTGTGCTCACTTTATGTCAAGACGCATGTAAGGGCCTTGTTGAATTCACTAACATTTTCGCCCGTGAGGAACGAATCTGAAAAAAAAGAATAATTAAATACAAAAAAAGAATTGCTAACAGATCTTTCGAAATCTCAACTATAGCTGGATTGCTTCCCGCCTGGACTCCAGTACTTTCCGGCCCTGCCGGCTAACTAACACCAAACCTCTTCAGTTTTACTTGGAAGTGTGAATGTCTAATATGAGTGAGATGACATTTAGTGACGCATTAAATGGGACAAGTCTTAATTATCATTAGCAAAGGTTCTTAATTTATACTTTTGGTTAGCGGTTGTTTTGTATTTATATTTGGGTGGTAAGAGCAACGATCGTGGGTTTCTCTGCTCTTCATGCTCTTTCCCCACAGGAGCTCTAGGTGAGCCTGGCACTCTCATTTTATGTTAAATGGTTGTTAATGTTTTTGTTGTTCTTTCTATTTGTCACATGTTTAATTTGAATATTGTTGTACGTAAATAATAAATGTTAGGTGTATTTACTCTGCTTTTGTTTTATAAAATTAAACCATACATCCCCTCAAAAAAAGTTAGTAGCCAGCGCCTTCCGGTCAATTAAAAAAATAGATACACACAACGTAGGTATTCCTTATGACGATCACATGTTTTTGGCCACAACTACGTTTATATTATTTGTTTTTTCAATCGAACCTAGGGTTGTTATACTACAGTATTGATGTGTAATTTGTATGTAATATGTTTGTTTAAATGTTTATATTGTAATGTTGGTTGTCTATTTTTCCTTGGCTAGCTATAGACCTTAATATTTCTTGCTACTTATTTTTCTAACTCATATTACTACTATTTAATAAAACTATGCCATTTTAGCTTTCGTTTGATATATGTCACNATGTAATATGTTTGTTTAAATGTTTATATTGTAATGTTGGTTGTCTATTTTTCCTTGGCTAGCTATAGACCTTAATATTTCTTGCTACTTATTTTTCTAACTCATATTACTACTATTTAATAAAACTATGCCATTTTAGCTTTCGTTTGATATATGTCACTTGCGATTTCTAATTAATTTTAATTATGTTTTTCCAATAACACCTTTGGCATGTCCTCTATTTGACGAAAATGTTAATGGTTATATGAATACGCATATTTATTCATCCACCTCTACCACTTATAAAACCCACCCATCCACCCGTCTATCCATCTACTTTTTGTACTGAGAGATGAGATAACAGCTTAGAAGATTGAGAATGCAATAAAACTTGTAGAATACTCTACTTTCTAAACAAATTAATACGATATCTATAAATCATTCTTATTTTTGTTGCTATAACGTGTTCTCTTTTCTTCAAAGGATCTCTGCAAAGGGTTACGCTTTCGTTTAGTCCCTCTATTTTTCGTTAAAAAAAAAAAACAGTGTATTCTAGCCAATATGTAATAAGAATGCATTTTTGGAAAGACCTTAGTAGTCTATCAAAATAGTATTGAGCTAAATTTGAAACAGCTTGGAATAAAAAAGTAAATATAGCAATGTTTTTGGGTTTTCTCTGTTGCTTTTGGTAAAGCCTCCATGGGCAAATTCTTTAAAAAATTGGTTCCAAATATCATGTCACTGTCCACTTAAACTAACATGTACTTTTAAGATAACCCCATTAAGAATATAAATATAAGGGATTAACGTACTGAAATACTAGGTATTAGGGGTGTAACGTTTTTAACAAAATGTTTATAGAGCTGAGATCTGGTGATTTTGGTGACCATACTCTCCTGTTCATTAAATAAATACCATTTTTAAAGTAAATAATAAAGTTTTTTACAATATCCCTGAAACTGTTAGAACAAATTTCAATTTCTGAGTAGGTAAATTTTAAACATTTCGAATTTCTTGATATTTCTTGTTATTTAAAAAAAATTAAAGTGGTGACACGCGAGGGTGATATTTTTACATAAAATAAAAAAACAAAATAATATTATAGTAATAAATAATAATTATTTTTATTTCCGTGATTACAGTCATATATTCTTTAATTCATTGCAGATAACGAATTATTACGACATGGCATTACAATATTCAGATTGGTTTCCCATACTAGGACCGCTGGACAAAAAGTTTCTATCATCATGATAATTCCTAAATCTTTCTTCTCAGAAAGCACGCTTTACAACTTTAAAAACTTAACAAATATAAATAAGCAAACAAGGTTATATGATTGTATCTAGATCTACGAGATCTGAAATTTAGTAATTTGAGATGAAGTTACGTAATAGAGCGCCTTCCCATTCTTCCTTCCTTGAGTGGTTTATAATATTATTATTTCAATTTCACTTGATGTTATTTTTTAAAATAGAGGATATTTTAAAAATTGTGAAACATTGAACAGTTATGTGGCTCATATTATTATGTCTACTTACTTATTGTTTAGGAAACACAAATTTAAGCACCATGAAATTTTTGGATGTAGTAGGGGTGGATGATATTTTTCTTGAATCTGCACTAGAAAGTAACCCACGTATAGCACAAAAAGGTCTATGTATCATAATGGATGCTGCTGACTATCCATGGAAAATGTTGAAATGGTCAACACCCGAAAATACTAAGTTATGTGTTAGAAAAATGATGGCGCAGCCTTTTAATAATTATAGATTCCATATAGTTAATATATCAATGGTAGTACATGTTGCAAAAGAAATCATTTGGCCATTCTTACCAGCATACATTAAGGAAATGGTTAGTGACACAAAACGGTATATTTTTATTTAAGTCGACCTAATAACTATGTACACCAAAATCCAACAATGTTCAAATGAATTTTACCTTTTGCATTATAAATTTCTTTGAAAGAAATTAAATAAAAGAAATACGTTTTTAAATAATTAGGTGAAAATTTACATAATTCATAAACTTTTGTATTCACCACAAAACTTCAGGTTTCAGAATTGTAACCCAATCCCTGTTTTTTTATTAACAGCCGCTGTAGACGAATAGGTAGCTAGGGGAGGGGCCAGGGATGTACACGGCTCACCCCGGAAAGTCCGGTGCCCACCCCAGAAAAAAGATCCCTTTCTCATATTGATAAGTCGACCTTTTTTTATATTGGTACGTCGCTGATTGCGTGAGCCTTTTTTTAGAGGCCTCCATAGAGTCGTAGTCCTAGGCCCACCCAAGCAAAAATCCTAGCTACGCCCATGGTAGGTTAGGTAGATTAAGAGCATAGGCGTAGCTACAATTTTTGCATGGGATGGGCCCAGGCTGCAAGCTCTATGATGACCTATAAAAAAAACTCCCGCAATAGGCGACTTCATTGACTCTAAAAAAAAAAGGTCACGTAGTCACCAACATACGCTAAATTACCGATATAAGAAAAATTATATTAGATCTTTTTTTGGGTGGGCCGTGCGTACACCTAACCCCCCCCCCCCCCCCCCAGCTAGCTGCGCCCATGATCAAGAGAAATACTATTTACAGACTTAAGACAGGATTATATAAGTGTAATAGCAATTTAATTATGCTATTTATGCTATTTAATTTATTTCAACTTTTAACTTTTAGGTTAAATTCCATTTTAACGACTGGAATTCTCTTCATCGATACATTGACAAAAAAGTTCTTCCTCCACATATGGTGGAACCTACAATGTTAATTACAACGAGGTATATGAAAAACTGTATGAAAGGAATGAAGAAATATTAGCATATACGAAATTCCGAAGAGAAGTAGCATTTAGTTGAGAAAACAATTTGTCATAAGTTCTGTGGTTATGGTACATCCATTGCAAGATATTTTTTAAATGATTACTATAACATTCCTCGCATAGTACATAGCAAATATTTGAATCTATAAATATTAAGCCATTAAAATTATATTAATAAAATAATTATATACTTAAATTATTTTATTGAGAAAAGAAAATAGATGAAATACATGCATAATAAAGACATTAAATATTCATGTATTGTATTAATTAATATTGCATGATTGTTATAATAATTGTTGTTCTATATCACTATATTTCTTTACAAAAATGGATAGGAAATATTAAGGGAAAATATAAACGCACTAGATATTCAGGACTTGGTTCACCACCGTTTTTTTAACACTCTCAATGACTTTTAGTTACCTACTACAAGAAAAGGTTATGAGGACTCCATTGTTAGCAGTGGTAATTGCTTTAACACTACTATACTTTAAACAATGTGCTAGTAATATTACCCAGCTTACCACTATGTTTGATCAGGTCAGAATATTTTAAATCAGTAGGTAATTACTGAATCGATGATGAAGTTTCTATGTGAAAATGAGATGAAATCTAACACTCCAGATTGTAAGAATGGTATAAACTAGACCCCAATAATTCTAACCCATAAGTCTACTTCCTACAATTTGCAAAATTATGAAATCAGTAGGTAATTACTGAATCGATGATGGAGTTTCTATGTGAAAATGAGTTAAAATCTAACACTCCAGATTATAAGAATGGTATAAACTAGACCCCAATAATTCTAACCCATAACTACTTCCTACGACCATTTGCAAAATTATGAAATCAGTAGATAATTACTGAATCGATGATGAAGTTTCTATGTGAAAATGAGTTGAAATCTTCAAAATTCACCGACGTTTCGAAGCCAGCTATTAAAACGCTCGAAATTCATATTTTTCATACGAATATATCTAAAACAGACTACAACACTCCTAAGCTCTACAAGCCGTAAAACAATGTTGGACAAACTTTCCAAAATTCACAGATGCTTCAAAATTCTACTCCGAAGCCATTCAACACAACGCCTGAAGACACCCACACGACCGCCGCACCATCCAAACGTCAATGTCAAGACAAATGCAAAAATCATGTACTGATCTTTCCGATAAATTCACCGAACCACCAGGACGATATCGAGTAGGCGTAGTCATAAGAGTAACTAAATAAATAATAATAAATAATATTTAGTTACTTTTATGGGCGTAGTCCCAGTCACCCGCGTCATCGGATGATGACCACGTCCTATGCCAAAGCTTCCCTGAGACCGCCGACGAGAGACGAGGGAAATAAAAAATTTCAGCTCACTTTTGAAATTTGGATGAGTCGACAGTCTCGACACCAAAAGCCGTCTCCCGCATGACCTCCGGGTTGGAATTAAATCTTAGTTTCAGATAAAAAAAAATTCTTAAAATTTGCAGCAAAACGGTTTTAAAATGAAAATATTAGTTTATTAGTTATAAAAGTTGTTTATACAGGGTGTCCCACCACAAACTCCATTGATGGATATCTGATAAACCGCTCAAAGGATTTTTTTGAAATTATGATGGTGTGATACAGATCGTGGGGCCTACCAAGCTAAAATATTTTCAAGGTCATCGTACTTCCGGTTATACCGGAAATAGATACTAACTTTCTTATTTTAAATGGAATCCCTTGTATATTATTGCATTTTTGGAAAGAGCATCTATTTTTAAGTTGAAAACATATAATACACTACAATACTTACGATTGACCGTTTCCGAAATATTTTGATTTTTAAGCAAAAATTGACAGATGCGGACTGTCAGCAAAATTTAGTTTTCCCGGAAAAATAGGTTTATTTTTTTGTGCAAATTAGACATGTTGTAGAGGTAGAGAAAGACCTAATTTATTGAATTTGATATGAAAACTTTACAGTTACAGGGTGGTCAAAAAAAATTTATCGAATATGTTCAGAATATGTGGAAAACTCGAAATTTTTTAATGGAAACCCCTAATTTTTGTAACGTATTCGCATTCTGCACTAAAATTAAGTGTAACTTTGTTAAAGTTTCCCTATACCTAAACCCAGCGAGATCTCGCTCGATTGAACAAGCTGTGTCAAAGCTGCCCGCAGACAAATCCATTTTTAATAACACTTATTGGAACAACTAACATATAAATCTGTATGTCTTTTCCACTTTTATGCCTATGAGATACACTGACATGCCTCGTTTGAAAACTGAGACAAGATTTCAAGTGGAAGTGCATAAGCTGAAAATATTGGAACACTGCAAAATGAAAGCACATTACAATTTTCATGCAGAGGATACGCAAAACTATTTTATCAGATTAACGAGTAGTAAAAATTGTAGTTTGATGGTTTTTTAAATATTTATATTTAATTACATTGTATAATACAATTACAAAACAATACAAAATGTAATAAAGCATAATACATACTACGTAATGGTTTAATAATTTTTTATATACAGAGAAAAATGTATAACACCATTAATTTCAGTGAAAAATCACCATTAAATGAGCAAGTGACATTAATTTAAATTGAAACAAAAGTTAATAACATTCAATTACGTCTTCACATTTAACTGTTACATTCATTTTTTTTATCGTAAAACTTAAATTACAAACTATTTTTTTTTACAAATCTTATATACAAAAGGCAAAAATATCCTACAAATGTATCACTGTAAAATATCAATCATACAGAAAGAAAACCATTTTTACAATAAAAATTGGTGCTTCTATACATAAATCTTAACCTAACAATTTGGATTCCGTCAACAGTTTATTATAAAATTGTAACTCAATGTTCACTCTAACGAAGAGTTTTACCAACAGTTGATTTGTAAACACATATTTTCCTTAAATGCTAAGAAATAAATACTAAATGTCACCACAACCTTCGCTTCAGTAGTAAAATTTAAATTGCTAATTTCTCACAGCGGGCTCTTTGTGTCTTCCCATGCGATCGGCATATTCGTCATCATCTGAAATTAAAATTATTCATTGTATTATCCATCACAATGCAAAATCTTGCTCACTAATTTAACAGTACTGAAAGAGTATAATCAATTCAAATTACAAGTAATGTCTAAATTTAGATAGAAATAACTACTCTGTGAGCTACATGTCCTGACCAGCAATATCTAGTAAACAGCTAGGATATTTCATCAACCGAACCCACCAGACATATACTGGTTTTGGACCGATTAGTCTTCATCAGTATACCAATGGTGAGACAACCGATGAATGTCCAATTGTTTTTGATGACTGAATTATAGACGTAGGGTGAGTATACGAGCCCAGGCTCATAACAGTTCGGCCGGCCAACGTTTTTAATTAAATACTTGAATAAATTACAAATTCTACCAAAATGATGAAAGATTTCCTTAAAACTACCTCACTTGTAATAAAGTATAGACTATCAATTTACTAAATTTAATCACTTTTGACAAAATTCAAATTGAGGAAAACATAGTTAACAAAAATGCAATCCAACCAATGGGTCATTATAGTTCGGCCACTTATCATATCTGCCATGAAACTGATATACTCCATCAAAACAAAACACATACTGAATAATTCAACAAAATATCTGTCATTATTAGTTTTACCCACGTTTTGCTTCAGATTTAACGTAAAATGCCTCGTGGTAAACCTCTAAGTAAAGATTTACGAGTTTCTATTATAAAAGCCCATGAGAAAGGTATTTCGGCCCGCCGAATATCAGTTTCTCATTCAATTCCGCGTTCTACAGTGCAGGATATTATTAATTTATACAGAAGAACCGGCGGAGTCGACCAAAAAGTCAAAACCGGCCGACCATCTACAATTACAGAAGCAAATAAAAGAGCTTTACGCAGAATAGTAAAAACAAATCGGCGGTCCAATACTAAAGAAATAACTGCACTATGGAGGGACAGTATAGCAAAGCCTATTTCAATGTCCACAACGAAAAGAACTATTCGAAAAATAGGATTCAAGTTTTACAAGGTAACTTTTTATCTTTTTTTTCTTGTTTAAATTCTTGGCAATTTTTTATTTTTTTCCAATAGGCAAAAGAAAAACCTCAATTAACAAAACTGCAGAGGAGAAACAGGTTAAAATGGGCACGAGAACATAAAAATTGGACGAATCAACAATGGCACAGCGTAATTTGGAGCGATGAGTCAAAATTTGACGTTTGTGTAGGTGACACACGAAAACGGGTTTTGCGTACACCTTCAGAGGCCTATCATAGCGATTGTTTAGTCAAAAAAGTAAAGTTTCCAGCATCTGTTATTGTCTGGGGTTGCATGTCTGGTAGAGGTGTTGGTAAATTGCATTTTGTTGATGGAATTGTTAACGCGCAGAAGTACAGAGAGGTATTCTGGAAGAGAGTCTGTTACCATCTGTTGAGATGTGTCAAACGGCGGAAGGGCATTTCATATTCCAACAAGACGGTGCACCGTGTCATAGCCCTTTTCCATTGCACTTTTATTAGAATCTATATTAGATATATTTGGAATATTAGATTCCCCCACACATGGTTGCACTCAGTGGAAGAAAGTATACAGCCATATTTTAATTTCCGATACAAAGTTAGTAAATTATATAAATATTTCACCAGTCTCCCCTAATAATTCTGACTCTGCCCCCATATCATTTGTATAACTTTATGCCATCATATAAGAGAATAAAAAACCGCCATACTTAAGAAATGTGCAAAGCCTGCAGTTCTAAGCTCTCCTTGACTATTGGTTTATTGTCTCTGTCTTGCATTAGGAATTTGAGAACAATGTACGTCTAAGATATGTACATACGGAAGATAGAATGCTGGACAATAATTACGTTTTTGATTTACTGCGATGGCATAAAGAGTATAAGCCACGGCCTGGAATTGACATATTAGTACGATATTTTTTTTACAAGAATGATAAGAGGTTTTGAGACCATACTAAAGCATTCCAACTTTATTACAAATTATTTATAACCTTTAGTAAAAATTAAAACGGTATTCTAAAATAAAATTTGTGGTAATTCTTAAGCAAAATAATGAATTATTTTCAAATGCTTATTAAATAAAAGCTTATTATTAATTAATAAGGTATTCAAACAAACCACCTGCTTGAGCTTCACAATACCCTAATCTGTCGTAAAATTCTTGACGAACATTTGACAAAATTTCTGGAGTAACTGATCCTAAAATATTTCTACTATTTCTCTATAATTTTAAGCCGTAATTTGTCCAAATTTGCGGCTCTTTCATGTCGATGTTTGTAGAGAAGTTGCGTTAAATGACCCCATCAAAAAAAAGTCGCAGGGTGTCAGATCTGGAGATCGAGGAGGCCAAGGTATGATACCTCTTGTGGAAATAAGCCTTTCAGGAAAAGTTTGTTCCAAATAACCTTGAACTGGCCTTGCGTTGTGTGCAGGACATCCGTCTTGCTAAAACCAAATTTCCTCAAAATTTACATCCAAGTTTCGTACAGCTGGTACAAGTTACCATCAATAAAAAAGGGACCCATAATATTATCGCCTAAAATGCCAGCCCAAACATTTACTTTTTGAGGGTACTGCGTTCTTAATGGTATACTTAAATGCTTGTTTTCCCGGGATCAATATTGGACCACTGAAGGATTACGACGGGCAAGTACGGAAAAAGATGATTTGTCTGTAACTAAAATCTGCCTAGCAAATTCATTATTTTCATCTATTTTTTCCCTAATGGATTCACAAAACTCCATAGGCCTTATTTGATCACCAGGAATAATTTCTTGAGAAGTTTGTATTTTATAGGCTTTGTAACCATTCTTTTTTAAAATGCAACGAACTGTACGGCTTGGAATATAAAGTTCTTCGGAAATTTGGGAGGAAGAACACGGCTCACTCACTTCCACAAAAGCACACCCACTGAACCTCCTTTTCTCTCCTTGCTTCAGGAATTTGACGAGGTTCCTGATTGCTACATTTCGTTTACCGATTAACACATCCACACTCCTCAAACTTATGAAAAATATTCAAAACAGTTCTAGCAGTGGGGACTGGTTCGTCGGGGTATGAAAATATAAATCGACCAACAACTTCCTCTGCACTTTCTGTACGACAATACCATTTAATAATACTAATTTTTTGTTCGACACTGTACACCATTTTTATTTTGTAATACCGTCCGTCTACCTCTTACCTAAAGTTTGAGTGGAATAATAATAAAAATAAAACTAAACAAACAGCAAAGCGCTTTAGATATTCGGTCATTTCACAAAAAATGCAACAGAGCACATGTGCTCCCACAGCCACCCAATTACGAGAGTCTGAGTTGCAGCCTCGATGATATATGTCATGTCTGACCGCTTCCACCCGAAGTTGATACGGGAGATGCATGTAATTTACCTAGTCTACGCGAAAGACCTGTATATTAACGCACTGACAGCAAAGGTAGCAGCAAAGATTTATACACTTGTGAAAGGACAGGTTTGTTGCAGAAAGTGTAAAGTTGAGAGGAAATAAAAACAATATTTAGTTGAATGTTTTTTGTTTCAACTACATATTTTGCTTGTGTCAATATTAGTTGTTTCTTAACTGTCATCTTTACAATTTCAATATCTTGAATGTGATTTTCAAGTTGTTTTCAGGCGATATGATACCATTTAAACTTAAATCTACAATTTAAGTGCTTGATCTGGAAAATATCTGACATATTAAATCTGTTTCCAAATAAAAATTAGAGTATGTTCAAAACATCATAAGTATCTGAATCCAAAGGATAGAATAGTTGATTAGATAGAATTAAGTTGGATTGTATTAGGATTAGATAAGATGGATTAGACAAGACTTTTCTTCTGATAATTTTCAAAAAAAGTTATTCGACAAAATTCTGTTCATCTCAATAAACAAATTCTTGAACACTCACCATCTTCCTCATTTTCTTCCAATTGAACGTCGTTCTGCAAATCTTTGTAGTCAGGCTGATCTTGGTCATAAATTTTCCTCTCCTTGTCTCCAACTCCTAATGCATCAATATGATTTTTCTCAAAATGTTGCTTTTCAACATTTTTCACATGGTCATTATCTCCAAAAGCTAATCCTTCCAAACCATTCTGGCCTAGTGGTGCGTCAAACACTTCATGTGCTCCATTTTCTTTGTCTATATCTTCTTTACCTGCAAATTAACAAATTTAAGATAAATTTACAAAATAATACATGGTTATTAAATCCAACTTATTTTATTTTTATATCACAATTTTCAGGTTTAGCATACATTTATTCAAATTCATAAATTACTCAATACCAAAATTTATTCGATACTGTCCATCTCTAGTTTTCATGCCTAAATGCGGTTGCTATGCCTCTAAATTTCACTGTTTTGAAAACCCTTTGCAACTCTGAATAAACCAGAGGGACGGACTCTTTCAACAATAAATTTTACTGTTGTGACCACTTTAAAATTGTTTCTGACAAATGCAATTTCTTTATCACTGTAATTGTTCCATTTCTCCGGATTACTGAATTATGTCTATAGTTTAGGTGAACTACACAATAATAATCCACCTAATGAGATATGACACCAGGATGCTGGGCAAGCAAAAACAAATGACCAATGTTAACTCAGCAATTAAGATAAATTACATATTAATTTTTACCGAGATTGAAATTGAATTTGTACAATGCATATCATGTTTTAATAACCTTAATTCTGTAGTAAAATTTTATTAGTGTTTAATGACAGTAGGATGTTTAAGGAACTTTATTATTAAATTATTTTGTGGCAAAAAATATGTAAGTATACAAACCAAGAAATATTAAATTTGACAATTAATTGTAGCTCCCAAAAAAAAATCTGTTTTTGTGCTTCTAAAGGTCAAAGGTTCTAAAAAAAAATTACTTTTTGATCACCTCACTTTCATACACCATAATTTTTAAAAACAATTTTAAATATAAATCCTATAACTTTTATTAAAATATTTTTTTGGTTATTTGGATAATAAAAACGCTATTATACTTTGCCACTCTATACCACAAAATATTACTCACCAGTCTTTTCAACGGCAACTTCATTGGCACTTTCTTTAACATTCTGATATCTGTTATTCACAATTTCAGGTTGTTCATTCTGACCATTGTCTTCTTTTTTGTCAGGATCAGGTACTACACCTTCAGGCAACGCTTGGTTGTAATTATTTTTAATTAGTGTTTCTGGAGTAACCGTAGGTCGTAAAAGTGGTCTTGCAGCATTCAGACTTCCTTGAGACGGTTTTAGTCCAGACCTTGTAGTAGATTTTGAAACAGGACTAACGAAATCGTTAGAGTTTGGCACTGCCAGCACACTTTTTTCTTGTTTATCGACAGGTGGCATATTTAAAACATTTGCATCAGATGGTTTACCTTCCGCATTTGGAATTTGATACAGGGAAGAGTCTGTTTTAGAGACTACCATACCATTAAAGTTTTTTGGTGAGGAAACTTCTTGTTTTGGTTCTTGAAGGGTGTCATATAGTGGACACTTTTCCTACAATTTAAACAGGTATATTAACAGGTAACTTGTTTTTTTGCTTTTTGTTACCTTCAGATTGTTTATATCTCTCTTTAACTCATTATTTTCTTTAATTAAATGATTAACATTACTTTCATTTTCATTTTTGTTCACTTGGTTCTCATTTAGTTGCTTCTCTACATTTTGTTTTTCAATTTGCAACTCTACATATTGCGTCTAAAATATATCAATATAAATAATACTGTTAATTAATTTTTGTCACTTACTTTTAGATGTTCTTTAGATGCTTCTACTTTCTTAAGTTCCTCTTTGATTTCCTTTAACTTCAACTGCAAATCATTAATATCTTCTAATTGTTTTTGTTGAGTTTTGGTACATTCTTCTTTAAAATCTTCATGTTGGGTCTAGAATTTACACATATATTAAAACACCTGATATTTTCTATGCAAAAAAAAGAAATAGAAATTTACTATCACATTTTAACTTTCACTTTTACATATCTCCTTGACCTGTATCTTCCCTGCATATTTTCATCTGAAGCTAGTATAAAATAATTTAAATTATATGTAAAAATTAATAAAAACAAGCTATTATATGATTTCAAAGTTAATATGTTTGATGGCTTACCTGCAACAGATTAAAATGCTGTTGTAATGAATTTAATTTAAGCTTAGCGTCACTGGATGATTTGTCATTTTTATTTCTCTCTTCATTCAACTTATTTTCTAAATTTGTTTTAGTTTGTTGATGCTCTGCTTTTTCAGTCTTTAAACTCTTTTCAAGACGCTGCTTGTAATCGGATATTACTGCAAAAGAATGAAAAATTTTATTCGAAACAATAAACATTTCTTGCAATCTAACCTTGTAATTGTGTAGATAAATTCTCTTCCTGTTGATGACATATTTCATTAGATTTTCTAACATCATCTAATTGTGAAAGTGTATTGTTGTAGCATGCTATTATCCCTGTTATTATTAATATTGCACACACATATAAAAATATTTTGGCTCTAGTGCCACGTATTACTCGGGAAGTTGTCATTACATTTATTTAATAACAACCATTCACTATTTTATTCACAACTAATAACATCTAAAACGTTTGCTGTAGTAGATGTAGATGTTGACAATTCACTTCCCATAAAAAATGTTTATTATTGAAAAATTGACATTCACATTCTAAATTAAGAGTTTCTACATTATCGACAAGACAATTACTATAATTACCACACCACAAAAAACATATTAATATTTTTAGATGGTACCACTGATGTTATGGCACGTTTGCAGTTTTACACTGGTATCATACAAATGTAAAATACCTATTACACTTGGTCGCACATCAAATTTCATAAGTATAAATCGCATTAAATTAAAATGTACCAACTACATACTAATACTTAAATAGCTTTTATTTTTTAATTAAAATTAATAAATTAAACTACATTATGGTAATTTTAATAATAAATTTACATATAATAAAATGGGGGGATATAGTTTAAAAAATATATTTCATGTTCACAATTGGTGAGACTTTAAAAAATGCCCTGATAATGCCTCATCTGAATAACCCGCCATTTCTTGTGGGATTACTGCGCTTTCTTCTACTCCTGTGCATGGTCTACACATGCATTCTAACGGAGCTTTAGTCGTTACCTTAAAGCAGAAAATGTTCCTTGTTAAAAATTGCTTTTGTTTTTGTTTAATTAAACATTTAATTCTTGGCACAAGAGTCTAGAGACATCTAAATTCACTTTGCTTTGAGGCTCTCGTGACGTAAGCCCTTATACAGAGAGATCTAGAATAATTGAAGCGTCTGTGGAACGCAGCGTGGTTCTAACATCATCTTTTACTCTTTAGCGTTTGAATTAATCTGGGCTTTAGCATATAAAAATAAAAATCTGTTTTCTGTTTTAGTATTGACAGGGACAGACACAGGCTGCGATCTCCAAACACTTCAATTCTATTATATGTTTTGTGACTTCAATCATTCTGGATTTCTCTGTACAATAAAAAGGTGTTAAAAATAATAAAATATTCCCTAAAATCATTTTTAAGCGTTAAGGTTACGTCAAATGTCTTAAGATGTTTAAGTCCTACGATATCCATTCTGTAACGGCATGAAGATGAAGTTGTTCAGTAAACCACAAAGCATAAAGCTTACTCCAAGATAAATAATTTACAAATCCTAATCCAAAATCGAACGCAATTATTTCATGATGGATAATGCATAATTATCTGTTAACTTTATGCACTTTGTTTTATTTATCATTTCAATGTAAAGCCAATCAGAGATTAGAATTTTTTAAACAAACCAATAATAACATTGATGAAATTGCTGGCGTAATGATGATTAAAGACACCGTCAACCGCCATTGCCACTGCAGTCCCTGGCCACTGCAGTCACTGCACAGAATCAGAATATTTTGACAGTTGCAGTTTCTGGTTGTGGTTATTATAATTAATGGATTACTGAGTTCTATTGTATTTAATGATAAAGGATAATTAACTTTGAACGGTTAATAACTAATTTATTGCAAAAGAGAACGGCGAGAAGGTAAGCAATTTAGGTTAAAGAAAGTAGGTATCGCATTTAGCTAATTGTAAGCTTTGTTTTGGTCGAACTGCAATTTTTAAAACAAACCTTTATGAACTTTCTTTCTCCCGGTTTTGCTTTTGGACAAAATAACGACACAGAAGCTTCTCTCTCCCCAGATTCCTGACAACACATGCATGATCTTTCCATTTGCCATATCTTGCTCCCTGACACCTAAAAAAAAACAATGGATGCATTACCTAGCGTTATTTTTGCACCAAAACTATTGACTAAATATTAAGCCATACCTGTAAGTAAGATGCACATCTTCCGATGCATGCAAAACTCGGTATTGGTTTTGGAACACAACCAGGATACTGTAAAACGTGTATTACTGGCGTAACCTGGCATTCATCTACACTGCTTGCTGCTTCAGCTTGTAAATTTTTAATATTCGTTAATCTTGGGTCCATGGACATGGTTGCAATAATTACGAATAATGTACCCAGTTTCCATACTTTCGTTAAAACTGAAATAAATTTAAACGATATAAGTATTGTAAATTAAAAACATTTTGAAAAGGTTCTGTTGAAAAAATTTTAAATTGTGCTATGAAAAAATTGTGCTTTTAAACGTAAAATAATGTACTAAGAAAAAGCAAGTAGTCAAAATAATACAATAGTTCTTAAATAATTTATCTAGTATAGTCCGATTTTTTACAGGTTTAACAAATACTAAGCCATGAGTATATCTTTGTTTTATTGAGAATAACATTCATGAATTATTTTATTTCAATATCTTTACCACTTATCTATTATTACATCACATGTACAATAATCGAATAATTTAGATATCTGTGTCACAATTTTTTTACTGCTTACATTATCTAAATTCAAGAATATTTTTTAAAACAATAAAATCACTTTAACACAGTAATTAAATGATCTACCTAAATTTGCAACTTGTGGTAACATTCCAATATTAGGATATTTTCACACCAGCTACTCTCCTAAGACTGTTGATTTTTTGCCAATGTATCCTTTTATAAAATCTCCCCTGACGGTAGTTTTGATATTAAGAGGGTTTACTGGCGTTTTGCTTTCTTGTACGAGTATGATATTCTACTGCTTGTTTTTTCAAGGGTATTATATGTGAATTTCATGTTTTGTAATAGCTCTCAGCCACCCCTCTGTTCACAGAGTGTGTCTACTCTCATTTGGACCTATAACTCTTGTTACATAGTAGGTGGTGGTTACGGGACATGAACTTGTTATGTGTTATCGAGTAAATAATGGCCTGTTTTGTGGATATATATGTATATTTTCTGATTGTTAACACTGATGATAAGTAGGTATCGTTTAGCAGGAAATAAAGTTGAAGATATTTTTGTGGCAAAAATATAGTAAATTTCTGTGAATGTTGTGTTATTTCTTAAAATAGAAATAATACCTACATATAAACGTTACATGATAAGTAAGAATCTTGTTATCAAAACTATAAAACTTAATTTTCTTTATCTCTTATGCAAATAAGATGTGGGAATTTAGTTAGGAGTTGCCACAAATGTCAGCTTAACCGAAAACTATACGTTTTGCTATCATTCTTCGAACTTGATTTTGAATTCAAATTGTTCAGGTTTACTAAAAATTATATTCGACAAAAAGTTAGTAGAATTTCAAATCTTTCAATTCACAAAGCGATTACACATAGGTATCTATATGAAAATTAGATATGTTACTAAATGAATAAATATTTAGTTGTTTTATTTTATGAATATTATATTATACTATAGTATTATTTTTTAGTTTTTATATATGCAACTTTTTTATTTGCAAAAATTTTTGTTTTTTATCATGATCGATATAAAATTATTATATAATTAATCGCTTTTCTTCATGCAAAAATTAAATAATTTGAAATAATATTTCTTCGAGTCATCATTGACTCAATGAAAAATAAATTTGTTACTGGATTAGATTTCACCTAATCTTTTACTTGTAAATTTATGGGAAAATGTTATTCTTTATAAAAATACATGTTTGTAAATTTTGTTTTAAATGGGCCAATATGTACTGGGTGTCTTCTACAAAGAAATGATCAGAAATATATAGAAGCATACAGTTTCAACATTTAATATGTACAGGGTATTCACATATCATCTTAATCGAAGGTGTAGTGACAAAAAAAAATTTAAACTGAAATTTTTGCCGTTTGCGAAGCATAATTAAAAACTAATATGTTACATAGTTTTGTTAATAAAATATTAAAAAATTGCGACAAAAACAAAAATTTTTTTCTGGGTAGCTAAAAGTTACCATTTCAGATAAACATTAAAAAAAAATTATGAACAAAAGTTATTCATAATTAAAATTTATTTTACCGAGTTTAAAGATAATCAGCCTACTTCCATGTTTTTATGTTTCCATAAAGTATCTTTCAACTAAACTATAACTATAAACTGCATTCTTCTAGGATAGTAGCCAAATGCAGAATTACTGAATGTGCCGGTGTAATGAAGTGCCGGTTATAGAGATTATACTGTATTTCTAATAATTTCTTAATAGGGACACCCTATATTCAGGGTGGGCCAATGGAAACTTTCCACCCCAATTTTTTTGGTTTAAAATAAAAATTTGGGAAAACGCTTGGACACATCGACTTTTGATTTGAGGGGGAACTATTTTTCAGTTTTTTTCATCCCTGTAGCTTTAACCACCTAGCTGGGGAGAGAACAACCCCCCAAATTTGAATAGGGGATAGGGGTCGTGCCATACCTCTTTTTAAAGGTCTCATCGAGTACTTTATGACCCTACAATTTCGCCTCATTATTTTTATCCGTAACGAAATGACAGCTTGTCAAAATAAAAATAAATAAAATACTTGTGTTTTGTAAACTGTAGACTTCAAATGGCCCCAGAGAAAGAAGTCTAGATAGGAAAGATCAGAGGACCTTGCAGGCCACTCAATAGATCCTCTACGGCCAATCCAATAACCTCTAAAATCTTCGTTGAGGAATTGCCGAACGGGGGCTGCATAATGGGCTAGAGCCCCATCTCGTTGAAAAAACACTTCATGTTGTAACACGTTATTATCTTCGGTAATGACCTCCCTTATTCTAGGAAAAATATTGTCTTGAAACAAAGTACGATACATCACAGCCAGCTTCTCTTCAAGTTCTGCAAGAACGCATAACTGTAGAATGTCAAAGGATAACTGCTGATATGTTGCAAAATGTTAGAGAAGAGATAGAGAATCGATTTTATTATTGCATGGATGTTAATGACGGACATTTTGAACAGTTTGTTAGATAAAGTTCACGTGTAGACCTAATTAATAAATTAATATTTTAATTTATTTTTGTTTTGACAAGCTGTCATTTCGTTACGGATAAAAATAATGAGGCGAAATTGTAGGGTCATAAAGAACTTGATGAGATCTTTAAAATGAGGTATGGCGCGACCCCTATCCCCTATTCAAATTCGGGGGGTTGTTCTCTCCCCAGCCAGGGGGTTAAAGCTACAGTGATGAAAAAAACTGAAAAATAGTTCCCCCTCAAATCAAAAGTCGACGTGTCCGAGCGTTTTCCCAGATTTTTATTTTAAACCAAAAAAATCAGGGTGAAAAGTTTCCATTGGCCCACCCTGTATGTTAGCCCACCTAAAATTAGATTTTTCCACATTTGAACAGGGGCAGGATTTTTTAACACATATATTTTTTCACAAAATGGGAGATACAAAAAGTATTCCCTCTTTTCAGCTCCATTCTTGGATAAATTAGTTGCATGATATATTGCTACGCAACTGATATTATTCAGTTTTAAATATGAGTAAATTATTTTGATAAATTATTACCACAAACTGTTTTATTACGTATTTCATAAAGTTTTACAACTAAATCATTGCAAAATCAAATATTTTGAGCTAATCAGCTAAAAATTGATAAGAATTAATATTTTAATCATTAATGTTCGATATGAAATACAACAGTATATCTAAAAGCAGAGCATTGAACGTTTGAGTTTTGTCTGTATTCTGTGTTGTATAGTAGTCACGTTATTTTCTTTTACATTTTATCATCAAACTGGTTCTAATTATTTACTTTATGTTACCTTAATTAGCATACTGAGAAATATCCATCTCTGCTTTAAGTGGGTTTCAAACAAAATATGTTACTCAAATAAATGGACAGATCCAAAAGTAAATCGTCAAAGAAATTGAAGGGGAAACAAGTAAAGAGAACAAACTCAAAGGACAATTTTACCTATCAGGAGCTCGAGGCAAGATACGAGAAATTACGTAAGGAAAACTCAGAGTTGGACAAGAAAATAGCAGAGTTTGAAGCAAAAGGTGTAAGTACAGATTTGGAGCCTCAAATGCAAGCCTTACATGAGTACAACGAAACGAAGGACATGACCCAGACGGTTCTTGGGTACTTGGCTGATGCTGAACATATTACAGTTGCTGAACTTCACAGACGCTACAATTTGCCTTTGGAATAATTTACATTGGTGAGTTTACAAATTATTTACATGCAGGGTTTCCGATCTGACGTGGATCATTCCTGTCACCTTTTAATGTATCGTACGATTCTGATGATTATTTTTGTAAGGGTGAACCTTAAATACAGTTTATTGTGTAGAATACTTATTTAATGTATTAATAGGATCTGAGAAAATTATAATTTTCAAATATGTGCTTTTTAGTACTATCAAGACACTGAATTAAAAATAAAAAACAGGATTTTAGGCATCATAAAAAAATTAGTAAATCAATTAACCTTGTAACCTCAGAGTTTTATAGGGTACTATGTTGTCAGATTTTTCATAAAAAAAACTTAATATGATTTCATGAAAAATTACACCTCAAAAAGTGTCATGGCTTTCCCACGTACTGTTGATATAAAAAATAATCATTGAAATCGTATGACATACTAAAATTTGACAGGGGCGTTCCAGATCATATTTGACCACCTTGTATGTATATATTATTTACTGTTAACAATGTTTGTTTTTTTTATTAATGCTCAAATATATTTTTTTATGAATTTTGTTCTCAACCACTTGATTTATTTTTTATATGTATATATTTTTTCTTAGCAGCTTTTAGTTGTTGTGGTTTATAGTTCGAACCAATTGCTAATTGGAAGTACATTTTATAAGGATTTAGGAACGTCATTGACCAATTGATACTTTCTTGATATATGTACTTTGTTGGTTAAAAAAATTTGAAAAGTTCTAATAACATAAATTTATCCTGCCAAAAAAGTCAAATAAACAATTTTGTTTTTTAATAATTAAATATTTCAATCTTTGTGGTTTGATTGGCATATACAGGGTGTCCAGATTTATATGTGTACAACCATTAACATAATAAGTACAAAACAAATTATACCAAATATTTTTTATTAAGAACACACATATTTGGAAATCGTCAGCTTGCTTTTTAGAGACCAACTCTGTGTGTGTTTAAATAATGTTTTAAATTTTTCATTGATACAACTGAATGCTTCAATAGACTATGTGTTTGAAAATGGAAATTTTGTTTTGTTTAATTTTTGAAATGTATTTAAATGTGCTGCAAAAATAAAAAGAAGCTATATTAACACCCCTTTATTGGTTTTTGCAAAATATATCTATACAAGTTCTTATCACACTACAAGCCTAAAGAAGTAATTTACAACCAAAATTATTTTATAATGGTTAGCTATGCAGGATTATCGGCTAAAATCTCCACATTTATAACATTTGCAGTCAGATGGTTCCCTCAGTTTTACATCCATCGAATTTGTACCTTCATTGGTTAGCCTTACGCCATCTGGGTCGTAACAGTGAGACAGTGTTATTATTCTTTCTCTGAGGAAGCTCTCCCTACAGCAGTAACATTCCTAAAACACAAAAAGTTAAAAGGTATTAAAGAAAAACATTTTTGTCGAGTATCAGAAATTTTCTGTTACTTTAATAATTATTGTATTTTTATATTCACAGAAAATTTTATTGTGCGGTGTGGGAGAAAATTAGGAAATATTCGACTTATTTTTCTTTTTCTTTTTTCTTGGACTTGTTGATTCTGCATTTTAAAAAGAAACTTTTTCACGTTTCTTTTTCCACATTTGACTATTTTTGAGTGGCAATGATATCAGAATTTTTTTTTATTTAGAATCCAATAATTTTCAACTAATTTGTTAGAACATGACGTTTTGTATTCAGCAACATATAATTATAAGTATTTTATTTACTAAATTTCCAGAGATTAAAAATAGAAATTGATGATTTGTTGAAATATGTGAACCAACATTTTCTCAAAAATGTGCTGGTTTAGGTTAATATCAGTGCAATTGATGTAATGCAAAAAGCAGGTTAATAACTTTAAAAATTTTAACTATATATGATATTATAATTAATAAATAAAGTTTATAATTGTATGTTGATGACTTCGGGCTCTGGCAGAAAATGATAGAATGAAAACGATAGAATTTCAAAAAAATTGTCATCATGAACAAACAATTAAACACGGAAAAGGTACATGAAAATGTGCTTTTTTAAAATGTAAAATCTGCATCTCTTAGGAAATGTCATGCAACTCATTCATTTCAAAAATAATTAATTTGTTCCGTACTTTTACTTTCACTGCAAAATATAAAATTGACCCTTTGCTATTTGTGATTATAATGTTTAGTTATCGTTTCAATTTTAGATATTTAGTCTTCGTAAATGAAAATCATATTTCTAAAAGTTATCTTGTTTATATTTTGCATCGACAACTTTGATACCTTTAAAAATCCAGTTGGAGTTATAACTGATGGTTGGACTTGACTTTTACAAGAACCCTCACATTTATTGACTGCTACTTCCCCATTGCAAGTCCTCTGTAACCTACCCAATTCGTCGTATTCCTCTGTAAAAGTATTATTGTAATGATTTGCTAAACTGAAAGATGAAAAAAGCAGAACAACAAATTATTTAATATCAAAATGATATTTTTTTACCTTTCGTTAAATGTATTTCAGATGGAAGTGTCTCACATGTCTCGTCCGACATATCTGAAACACAGTAAATATAAGAGAAACACAAAAGGCTAACCAAAAATGTGTACAACATCTCAGTGGCTTGAGTGGAAATTAACTGCTTCAATTTCCATCTTACTCCCTTTTATATCTTATGCAGTGGAATCAAGTTTTGAGCAAGTTTGTTGATATACACACCCTTATTTTCTTGTATGTAATAGTTTGCTTTGAATAGTTCTGAAATTATTTTCTATATCAAGAGCACTGCAGGACTAGGATAGGATTTTATGTCGGCAACAAATGTTTAATAATGAACTTGTGCGTTAATTTACTAAATTAACGGGTATTGACCCCAAACATGAGGGGAGCCACCTGGGGTGGTAACAAGCTATGTGTTTTATGCTAAAATGTGCTACATCGCACTAAGTATCAAGTGAAAAAGCAAGGATTTGAATATCTGGCTAGATTAAAGGATATGTTTTGAATTTGTGTATGTGCCTATAAATTTTAATTAACTGATAATATTGCTCTCTGTTTTTTTTTTTAAATTTATTTTGGCTTATTTCTTTTTATAGCTGAAATTTGCAAAAATATGTGTTTGGTTTCAGGCTTTTTACAGTTTGATTTACTTAGATCTTTAGTAATAATGTCGGACACTTCCGAAGAAACTGTCAAATCTGAACGTTCTAATGATAAGGAAGACAGCACATGCCGAGATTTTGCTCGTGGCCTCTGCGATAGGAAATTTTGTAAATATAAACATGAAACTGACAGTAGGACACTAAATTTCTGCCATGACTATCAAAATAATATCTGCCCCAGGCCTCATTGCAAGTGAGTTATTTTTATATATTTCTTCTTAAGTATTTCCTCTTTGTATTTTTTTTTCTAGATTCATCCATTGCACTCCAGAAGAAGTAGATGAATACAAAAGGACCGGAGAGATGTCGAATCAAATTCTGGCAGAGGCAACTCGAAAGAATCAATTACCGGGAACACCCCCTATCTGTAATCAGTTCAAAAAAGGTCTGTGTCGCAGAACGTTTTGTAAATTCCGGCATCTGTCGAAAGAACAGGAGGAGACGGAGATATTGGAGTTAATCCAGAACAATACCCAAAGAAAGCATACCAATTTACTGAGGAATAATGTCAATGAGTCTCATTTTGTTACTGTAGAATCAGTTAATGGAGTTAATGGTAAGTTAATACATACATTATTAAAAGTTAAAATTTCAACAAACCCAAAACTGCAATCTTGAACATGATTTTTGTAAAAACAAAAATTCATTCATTTTATAGGATATTTTATTTGCATCTTACATGTACATAGATTTGAAAAATTTATAGCTGAGAAAATGTAATTTCTTTATTAACTTCTAACTTTTAACAACTCAAATTTTTTATTGCCATCTCTCATGTTTCACTATTAGTCGATTATTATTTTGCGAATTATACAATGAATTAATAGGAATACATTTTATTTATTAAAAAATAATAATTTTGGTTTGAATGACACAAGCACAATATCCTTGGTATACTTTGCAATTTTTTGGATTATGAGAAAAATGAGAAAATTAATCAGGATTAAAAAAAAAACATGAAATTCTAACATTTTTTCTGATTTTTTTTTGTAGTGAAACAAAACCAATAAAACAAATAGGTATGATGTCAATTTTGTATTTTTTTCAATTTTTTGTACTGCTTTGCTGGAAAGGTATTATGATATAAAGCACCAAGTTATAATTTACTTTATTTGCATATTTGTGCTAAAATAAGTTAATCATAAAAATTAAAAAAGACCCATTATATATATTTTTTGTAATATGTATTTTTTTGTTACTATTCTGCTAATTTCAACATTCCAGGTTTTTTTTTGTAAAGATATATTTACTTCTGACTAATACAACTATAGTAGAATCGTATTCGATGCAAAGTAGAGCAAAAAGTTGTCGGTCTTTTATCAAAGGAAAATTGTGTCATTATTTTTAGGAGGCGTAAGATGAACCATTTCAAATTTAAAATGAAATTGAATGTAAAATCTGAAATACCGCTACATACGCACTGTGTTCTGGTAGTAGCTGTAGTCGCCCAGATGCATCGAGTGTACGAAGTGGTCGGTTATACGTCAAATACTAACTTGGCGAGCTTGGTTGTATATCAAAGAGCGCCTCCAAAAAACAAGTAAACGACAGTGGCGCATACAGAGGTAAAATGTAGTACATGTGGAATTTAAAAAACAAATTGGATTTGTAATAAATTACATTTAAAATACATAGTTTATGAGAATAAAGGAATTTTTGTAGGAACAAGGGTGCCAGACGTGAACTGGATCATAATGTATAAAGAAATTATTCAATTTCTAAAAAGCCTTAAAAGCGTATGGCACTGGATCCCTTGACAGGCAATGATTTATTACTTTGCATCGAATATGATCCTACATTGATCGAATTTATAGTGTTAAATACCTTTTCTCGAAAATTATGTAAAATAAATATTTTTTTTGGTAAATTATTAACAACTTTATTATGAGAAGAAACAACAATTAATAAAATTGTAAGGTGTCCAAAGTAAAAATAAAAAAAATTAAAAAATAAAATTTAATAAAAAAATTAAAAATTGTTAAATATCTTATACACATAGTGAAAATTGGTTATAACGACATTGCTTTATGCGACATATTGGATATAACGACGGAATTTGGAAGTTCCGATTTAATCCTATAGAAATACCATATTGAAAACATTGTTTACTACGACACCGTTTACAACGACATTTCGGATTTAGCGACGCGCTTTTTTATACATTTATTATACCAAAGAATCTGTCAGTTATAACGACCAATACAGCCTTAAAACCAATGGACCGCTCATCCGCCCGCCCTGCCGGCATCCATGCTTTTGACACCAGTTAGTACATTTGAGACAAATTACGGCTTATCTACACATACAGTTATTTTTTATTTTATATGCATTAATTACCACTTTCTATCACAATGTCGAAGAGAAAAGTGTTTCATAAAGAAGAAAAATCACCTACAGGGTGTTTGTAAATAAATGCGAAATATTTTATCGGGTGGTTGCCGAAGTTATTTTGTGAAAAAAAATTCATATAAACGTAGGTCGAAATATACTTCGTTTCCGAGATACAGAGTGTTTAAATTTTAATATTTTATTTATTTTTATTACTTATTTCAAAGAGTTTTAAAGATATTGACTTGAAATTAGAAAAGCGCTTTGGAGAGCTATTGGATGTACATTTTTTGGGGTGATCCGAATATTTCTACTTACATCAGTGACATTCGTGCGAGAATGCCAGAACTTTTTTTAATAAAAACAAATGGTATGCCACTGACTTTTTCCCGTTTTGATATTTTTTTGGAAATCTGCTATTAATTATGAATGAAATTGGTCTCTTCAATTTTTTTCGTAGGATGCACTGTTTTTGTGGAAAAAAATAAAACATAATTTTAATGTAGGTTTTGTTAATCTTTTATTTAAAGGTGCAAGTATAAATATTCGGATTACCCCAAAAAATGTACATTTATCCCTCCAAAGCATTTTTCAAATTTTGAGTCAATATCTTTAAACCTCTGAAATAATTAATAAAAATAAATAAAAAATTAAAATTTGAAACACTGCATCTCGGAAACGAAACATATTTCGACCCAAGTTTATATGAACTTTTTTTCACAAAATAACTTCAGCAACCACCCAATAAAATAATTCGCACTTTTTTGCGAACACCCTGTATGATATAGAGATTAAAAAAGCAAGCAATAGAATATAAATAAAGTCTCTATTCATAAACAATTCATTGAAAATGAAGCGCGCCAGATCTTAATAGCCATGAATTGTGGTTTCAAAAATCATGAGTTAACAATCTTGTCTACGATGTTAGATATTTTTTGCATACCTAGATTTAAGATCATTTGATAGAATTTTTAGGAAAATTTTTGAATTTAGGTTAGCTTTAAAATAAAGTAAATATACAATACAAACCATGGTTTATAATTTCACATCGCCAGATAATGGAAACAGTAGGTAACGAAAAATAAAAATATATCCAATATTCTAATATTGGAAATAAAAAATAGAACCATAAAAACCACCGGTCCGTGGATCGTGGAACAGGTGGAAGAGGGGCGGGTGGAAGAGGACATTACAGCTCTACATTTCACACCTGACGACCATTTTCTGATTTACTTCTTGTTTTCATATTTTTATTGGCAAAAACATGCAAATTCATCTGAAACTGGAGATGATGATGTCACCTTAGAAGTAATCGGAGTACTTCTGATCTATCACTAATTCTTAATTCCCAGTTTTCCAGATTGCTATATACTGATTTTTTAAATTTTTGGTAGATAAAACTGAAAGAATTTATGATTCTATGTTTCATGTTTTTTTCATTGCAAATACACAAATAAAACATTTATATAATAAAATAAACAGTGATAACCTAATGCGTTTTTGCAACAGAGGTATTAAGAAGAAATGGTGTCAGCTTTGATGAATATAAAGACAGTGGGCTTCCTTTGGTAAAAAGAAGATTTTTGTCCACTCAGGATCAGGAAATACTGTCATGCGATGTAATAGAAGACCGAACAAGACCTGTTTTTAAGGGATATTTTGCCGGGAATCCCCCATCTCCAATGCTCACTAGGGTCGACGCTAGGTAAGTTTCATTAAAATTCCCAAATCTTTTGTTCATTTTTTAAATATTTTTTTGTAGGAGTTTAATGTTGGAAGAGGAAAACACTTTGTTACACAAAGAAATAGCTCAACTTAAAAGACAAGTTAGTAAATTTCAGTGTTATGTCAAAACAAAATAAAGTTCATAATTTTTTTCAGGTGTCCGATCTCACAGCAACAAATGAGTTCCTCCTGGATCAAAATGCCACGTTAAGAGTATCTGGCAAACATAACGGTACAGTCAATGTTCCAGCTGTGACTATAACAAACACGAATACGCCGCCGCAACAGGTCAACAGGACGGTCATAGCGAGCGTCGCTACTGTCCCAGTTTCCCTCGCCACAGTTTCCACTTGCAATCCGGTGTCTGGAAATCATTCGGTCTCCATAGCCGGATGCCCCGCAGTCAGTATCGCGTCCCCCGCTCAACTCCTGGCCTCTAATCAGCAGATACTTGGTGAGTGTATTTTAATTTCATGTAGATGATGATGGCGGTTCTAAGTATGTAATTTATGTGAAATGTACTTGAAATTTTTAACTGATGTTATGTATAACTGTGTATTCCTTTCAGGCAGAAAAGTTTCTAATGAATTGGTACATTATACACAGAGTGTAACTTTGAATGGGGGTCTTATTTACTCCGAAGCTACCTTTGACATTTAAAAACACATCGAAAGTTTGTTTACTCAAATTCCATTTTGAAAACTTAACTTTTGTAACATTTTTTCTGAATTTTCATTCCCTACCACTAAACAGGCTAGTACAACCCCATACATTCCCGAGCGCAAGCCACAAACGTATTCCTAATTGGGAGCTATGGCATGCACTGTTGTCATACAGTGTAGGAAAGCGCCGATGGTGTATCACAAGTTACGTGAGAGCGATAAAGTAAGACATAGAAATCCATGCGATAGAGAAGGATGGCTATAATGAAGGCTTCTCTTTGTCACCGCCCGTTTTGCCCTTCCACAAATAAGATCCACTTGTTATTTGTGGAAGGGCGAAATGGGCGTTGACTATGATACGTAACTCACGTAACTTGTGATAGACCATCGGCGCTTTCCTACACTGTATATCATCTTTCTTGATTCGTATACATATTTTTTCATATCTTACACTATACAAAATAAATGCCACAATAAATTTTGCTAGAAAATTAAACTAAATAAAATACAACACTGCACTATACAAATTCTATTTCGATGCCAGTAAAAACAAATACTTCACTTAGAAGATGCCAAACTACCCGTCATATTACAAACACCTCACTTAAACCGATCAAATGGAAACTAAAATAAATTTCATATTCGTCCATTCCTGTTTTGCCGAAATTAACTTTAGCCGTTTGGTTTTTGCTCTCCGAATACCCTGATATTATATCACATTAGGTGGATTGATATTATATAGTTCACCTAAACAAGTCAGTGTCAGAGATCATTGACATTGGAATTTACGAGCTAAACAGCATGCTTTAAAAAAATTATAACAAATACTATTTATTACAAACTTAAAATGATTTAACAAATATATCAAATCATATAAGTATTTTTATTTATTTTTTTATGTGCAACAAAAACGATAAAACAAATTAGTTTTACTTGTAATCAATATACAATGCAAGAAGCATTCGCATAGTTAGACTATATGGCTATATAATTTTTTTTTTAAATGCTTGAAAATTTTTTTGACATTTCTTCGTTTGCAATTGGCAAAAACATATGGTGACTTTAAAATAACATGTAGCAAATTCATACAGAAACAATTTGAGTTTACAAAATTATTTTCCATTACCGTTTCTCTCTCAGCCACCCAGCTAGTTTCATACAGTTGGTTTAAAAAGATAACAATAGGAAACAATGATAAGCGCACACATACAACCGAGTATGGGGTTGCCTAGTAGCGGCGTAGACGAGAGTTTAAGTACAGTTAAAAAAAATGAATTATAAGTCGACTGTCTATTTTATCTAAAAAAAAAATTGTTTCAGATTAGTATTGTTATGAGAAAATTTCTAATTAAAAACAGGATGTATACCGATTAGAAAATCCAATCTAGAGATCCTGGAAATTCAAAGGTCTGGGGGACACCTGATAAGTTTCAAATTTCGGGATCAATCCTGAAGATCCTAAAATAACTCCGAAATAAAAATGTTTCTCTTTGGTCTTATTATTTATTACTTCAAACTGAGTAATAACGACCTTTAAATAATTTGAGAATAGTATGCAGAACGAATTTTCTTCAGCAGTAGCAGTTGCAACTAAAATCTGATCACATTTAAATGACAGCGACAACACATAGACAACCTATGTATAAGAGCATTCTTTAGTGCAATAATGAACATTGATTTGAATTTATGTAATTGAAAAAAGAATTATTTATAAAATGTTTTCTTGACAAAAAGCAAGATTTACCATTTTTTGCTTGAACAAATTATTTGCTCTTTTGCACCCAGAATTGATCCTTTATTATCTGAATTAATCAAGTTTCAAGATTGGAATCTAATCGAAAATTTTTTATCCTGAAATTTCCGGAATTGAATTCCTATTTCAAACACTGCACTTCATAATACCTATCTGGAGAACTGGAAATTATCTGTAAATATTGAAAATACATGATTAAATTTTTGTTTAATTATTTTAATTTTGTTTTTAAGGAAAAGATAGTAATAATTTATTTTGGACAATTTTCTTTTTTTATCCATACTTTTATTTTTAACTTAGGCTCTTCAAATTTTATTATTCATCAGGAAACAGATTTATCAGTATTAATATACAGGGTGTTTGTAAATAAGTGCAAAATATTTTAGGATGTGATTGCCGAAGTTATTTTGTGGAAAAAAGTTCATATACATAGATAAGGAGTGTTTCAATTTTAATTTTTTATGTATTTTTATTAATTATTTCAAAGAGTTTTAAAGACATTGACTTGAAATTTGGAAAAGGCTTTGGACGGATAAATGTGCATTTTTTGGGGTGATCTGAATATTTCTACTTGCACCGGTGGCATTCTTGCTAGAATATCACAACCTTTCTTAATAAATAAAATGGTACGCCACTGACTTTTTTTCCGTTTTGATATTTTTTTAGAAATCCATCATCAATTTTGAATGAAATTAATCTCTTCAATTTTTTTTCGTAGGATGCACCGTTTTTGAGGAAAAAAATAAAACATATTTTATTGCAAATTGTGTATTTTTAATTTCTATCGACACTCATTATCTAGTACAGGGTTCCTCAACCTGGGGTCCGCAGCATAATGACGCGGCTTAGAGTTTTACAGTAACATGCGGTGGAAAAAGTATTTACAGACAACCGAATATCGTAAATGTATCTGGACAGTAGGGCCTGACCATTTTATAGATATAGAAGCAAGTAAAATAAACCCTTGAGAATATTGCAAATAAAAGTATGATTATTGAAAGTGTTTTTTTTTCTTTTTTCTTTTAGGGTCCTCGAATCATTGTAAAGTAAAGCTATTGAAAAAGGTCGGGAAAGGCTGATCTAGTACGTTGCTGTCAATATTTCTAAATAAAAGACAACCATCAAATTTCGAGTCCATATCTGTAAGACTTTGAAATAATAAAAATAAATAAAAAATTAAAATTTAAACACGCTGTATCTCATATTTCGATCTATGTTTGTATGAACTTTTCACAAAATATTTCGGCAACCACCCCTTAAAATATTTCGCACTTATTTACAAACCCTCTGTATATGGATTTAATGTTTTTCCCTTGATGAAGTTCTTAAAAAGCGAAAAAATTAGTAATGATGGTTAGTGTAAAATGGAAATTGATATACATTCTCTTTTGGGTGGATACCTCTTTGTCACCGCCCGTTTTGCCCTTCCACAAATAAGATCCACTTCTTATTTGTGGAAGGGCGAAATGGGCGTTGACGATTAGACGCCTTCATTATAGCCATCCTTGTCTATCACATGGATTTCTATGGCTTACTTTATCGCTCTCACGTAACTTCTGATAGACCATNNNTCTGTGCTGTTTTTTCCAAGAAATTATCATTGGAAAATTGTTTTATTTTGAATTTCATGTGAATTTTGACATTTCCGGAGTCATTTTCCATTATATAATTTGCATTGCACAAATTTGTGATATTCTTTTAAACTAGACATAAAATAGAACTATTTGACTTAATTTTACTACACCATGTGATTCTTTTTAAGAAAATCTATCAATTTAATAAATATTTTCAGTTTAATTGTTCATACTTGGAATTAAATATTTTAAAACCGCTACTATGCTTTAAGATTTAATTTCGAATCAATATTTTTAAATTTGAAATAATTAATAAAAATATATAAAAAATTAAAATTTGAACACTCTGTATCTCGGAAACGAAGCATATTTCGACCTACGTTTATATGAAATTTTTAACACAAAATAACTGCGGCAACCACCCCCTAAAATATTTCGCACTTATTTACAAACCCCCTGTATATGGATTTAATGTTTTTCCCTTGATGAAGTTCTTAAAAACCGAAAAAATGAGTAAAGATGGTTATTGTAAAATGGAAATTGATATACATTCTCTTTTGAGTGGATACCAAACCATAAAAATTTGTCTGTCCAAGGGAGACGTCCTAATAGAAAATTGAATAAAAAGGTATGATTAAAAAATGGCCAAGCTTCCTTCTCTGGTGTCATTTACAATATGGAACAAATGTCACACAAGTGAATAAATTTTCAAAAAAAGCAGGAAGTTAAAACCAACTAGTAGCAGAAATCGAGATTTTTCGGTATCCAATCTTGCCACTTAATATTCACTGTAAAGTCCTAGTTTTAATAACGATATCGAATGTTATTCATATTAATGCCTGTTCAGAAAATAAAAAAAATAAAAAATTAGTGCACATCCTCTCAAAAGAGAGGTTGCCTAAAAGAAAGTTGTCTGTTAAGGGGCATATATTATGTAGACCTGAAATTATCGGAATTTTTTTGCGGAAATTTGGTATACACCCTATAAAAATTTTGTTGCCTCTTGCCATTGGACTGGTTTGTTTCCAAAATTCGCAGATACAAATTAGTCCAACCAAATTACACTTGGAGAAAAAAAAATTGTTACCTGGACATTTATAAGTGGAAATGGTAAAAAGGCTTATAATAAACCTATAAAAAATAAATGCGTGAGCAGGGGCGGCGGAGGGTTGATTTGGGGGGTTGAAAATTTGTGAAAAATTGTATAATTGAGATTTTTGGCGAAAGTTGATGTCGAACAAAAAAGTATCCAATACAAAAGTGTAGATCATGCAAATATCTACAACTTTTGTAGAGGTCGTTTTTTACATAACCTCAAATTTTCCGAGAAAATTGCGAAAAACAGTTTTTTTTTCTGATTTTTCGTTTTTTATTTTTCATTTCCGCAAAAATAATTTAATTTTGACGAAACTTGGTGAAAGTATACCTTTCGCTCTCTTAAATAACCTCAAATTTTTTTACATAACAAAATTAAGAAGTTTCTGAGATATTCATTTTTTTCGGCCTGAAACATTTTTTTCAAAGAAAAATTCTACTTAAAAAAATCATCGTACAGAGTTCCGCCAATAATCATTTTTTTCGTTTTGACATTTACTTTTTGGTGAAACAAAAAAATTTGTAATCACAGTTCAAAAACATGCTCAAAAATGCAAAAAAAAATAAAAGTGACTTGCAACAATGAATTTTTCAGTAATTGTTGATAATTTGTTTAAATTAAAAAACGTTCAACAACTGATTGCACTATTCAATTCTACGGAAAAAAATAAAAAAAAAACGTCTCATTGTTTCACCCAAAACTTTATTTTTGTACAGTATTGCTATAAACATCTAAGTCGAATTACAAATGCACAAATGATAAATTATCTCTGGATGATTTGAGATTTCAGCAATACATACTAGGTATTAACTGCAAAGTCTACTGTTGACGCGAAATCCGAAAACCCGAAATTTTACAAAATCGTTTTATTTCTTTTCTGACTTTATTTGAAAACGAATTTTAAATAAATTGCATATTTACATTGCCACTTTTTTCGCTCTATCCAATGGCGGCAACATTTTTGTAATCCGACGTTTCGTCTTCGAGGGGCCATCATCAAATTAATTTTTTTTAAATATATCGCTATTTTTTGAAAAAATTTAGTCATTTTTAATTCTGTATTAGATGATACTAATGTAATCACTTAAAAAGGTTTTTAGCTATCATTAAAAATTTTTCCTAAGTACGGCTCAGAACGCTTTCAAAATACCTCTATCTTTTGGAGGAAAGAGAGAGAGAGAGAGAGAGAGAGGAGAGAATAAAAATCAATACAGCACCATTTTTTTTAATCCATAATTTAAAAAGTTGTACCTAATAACAAAATAATAGGAATTTATGAAATATTTTATTATTTCTAATTAGTATTGCTAACAGTAGTACAAAATTGTTGGATATATTGTGCGGTATTGACTTTTATACTGTTGTGACTTCATCCAATAGATATTTTGAAAGCGTTTAGAGCCGTACTCAGGAAAAATTTTAAATTATAGGGAAAACAAGCTAAAAACTTTTGAAGCGATTACAATAGTAATATCCTCTCAATCAGAATTAAAAATGACGAGATTTTGTCATAAAAATAGCAGCGACGTAATTAAAAAAATTAACCCCTTGATGGCCCCTCGAAGACGAAACATCGGATTGCAAAAATGTTGACGCCATTATATAGAGCGAAAAAAGTGGCATTGTAAATATGTAATTTATTTTAAAATTCGTTTTCAAATAAAGCCAGAAAAAATTAAATAAATAGTTTTGGGTCAAACAATGACAGTTTTTTTTAAATTTTTTCCGTAGAATTGAATGGTGTAATCAGTTTTTGAACGTTTTTTAATTTAAACAAATTATCAACAATTACTGAAAAATTCATTGTGCAAGTCACTTATTTTTTTGCATTTTTGAGCATGTTTTTGAACTGTGATTACAAATTTATGTGGAAATGAGAAATAAAAAACAAAAAATCAGAAAAAACCTGTTTTTCGCATTTTTCTCGGAAATTTTGAGGTTATGTTAAAAAGTGACCTCTACAAAAGTTGTAGATTTTCGCATGATCTACTACTTTCGTATTAGATACTCTTTTGTTTGACGTCAACTTTCGCCAGAAATCCCAATGATACAATTTTTCATAACTTTTCAACCCCCCAAATCAACCCTCCGCCGTCCCTGCTCACGCATTTATTTTTTTTCGTTTATTATAAGCCCCTTTACCATTTCCACTTACGAAAGTCCAGGTAACAATTTTCTTTTTTTTTTCCTCTAAATGAGTTATTTTGATCGGTCTAAATAATATATTCGAGTTTTCAATGACCATTATTAATAAACGAAGGTCTTTGTACAGTCAAGATTTTCACAATAAATAATTTTGCCACAGTTACGACAAACCCTACGCCACAGCTGGCCATTGCCAACAGCAACCAGGCGCAGCTAGCCATCGCACAACAAAACCTGGCCAACAATTTAGCCCAACAGGCGCAACCCCAACTAACCTCGCAGGCCCAGCAACTGGCACTCGCCACAACCACCCAACAGTTGACTTCTCAAGCCCAGCACATGGCCAACCAGCAGCTGGCCCTAGCCAGCACCCCTCAGCAGCTCACCTCCCAACCCCAACAGCTGACTCTGGCCAATAACCCCCAAACACACCAACAGCTGAACCAGCAACTGTCCTCCCAAGCTCAACAGCTAGCCAATCAGCAGCTGAACTCGCAGGCCCAACAGCTGGCCAATCAACAGCTGACATCTCAAGCTCAACAATTGGCTCTCGCGAATACAACTCAACAATTAACGTCCCAAGCTCAACAGTTGGCCCTGGCCAATACAACTCAACAGTTGACCTCACAAGCGCAGCAACTCGCACTGGCTAATACTCCACAGCAGTTGGCAGTGGCTAATGTTCCACAACAGTTAGCTCTAGCCAGCACCAATCAGCAGCTATTAGCGCAGCAAAACTTGGCTTCCAGCCAACAAATGCAGGAAATGCACAGGAACAGTCAGATGAATGCCATTAATACGTCGCAGGCTATAGCCATGTCGAATGCGTCGCAGCCCATGGTGTCTTATCCGATTATGACTCAAAGCATAAACCACGCACTGACGCATTGATTCAGACAGTAGTTGTGTTAAGTGCGATCAACTTTTTTACAGAAGTAGTTTGAGTTATTCCACATAATTTATATTTAATTTAAATCAATTGGGTACCAGTATTTAAAAAGTTTTGTGAAGGGACAAAAATGTGAGTTTTGCAGTTTGTGATTTGTTTCCAATATTTTACGAAGCAAGTCATGAATGGATATGTCCTAAATGTGGTTGTGAAAAGAAGAATGTCCGATACGGATTTTGTAGTGGTTGCTTTTATTTTTATAAGGGAAAAAAATATCGGATGAATTATTTTTGCTTATAGTAGCGAGACAATTTTTTCGTGGACAAAAAAATTATCTTCAGTTGGTATTAAATGTGTGAAAAGTATTCTGGATACTTGAACATTAGAAAAGTACAGCTGTGGACAATAAAAAGTTTCCTGCCCAAACCGATTGCAGCCATGAAAAAACCTTATTAAGCGTTAAACATTTCTAGTCCAGTACGGTACAATAAGACGAGTTGGTTTTTGAAAATTTACTTAAATAGACAGTTTTAATTTGTAGAAAAACTAAACAAATTGATAAAATTTAAAAATATTAAATTTTGCCCCTTCACATAATAATTATTGTATGTAATTAAAATTACAAGTATACATTCCTAGAGTTGTAATCTTAAAAGTATTTTTGTATTCCTGGTACCCAATTTATAAATGTAGCCTCAGTTTGTTTCTTAAAATAAAATTTAGTTTCTAGTTTAGTTTATCAATTCAATAAAGTGTTTTGTTTGTATTTTTTATTTTCGTTTTTTTTGAGTTTGAATCAACAAATAACTATTTACATAAATGTAGATTAGACTGGGTGGGTAAGAAATTGTTGCCACAACGTATGTAGGTATTTAAACGACTTAATATTGGTGGCAATAAAATTCAAACTGTTCTAGAATATCTTAACATATTAAACAAGTAAATAATTAATTGTATGTGATGTAAAGACTTTGATAATCGAACTAGGGTATTCTTTTTCAGCTTTTTGTCCGTTTTTATTTATGCAGTTAGTATCTATGAAAGAATATTGTTTTCAAAACATTTGTATATACATTGGAAATAAATTATTTATGTGATATGTATGTTGTTTTTTTTAGAAACACTACAGGGTGTTTCTAAAATAGGGTTCCAAACTTCTGTTGCGTTTATAACTCATTAATGTAAGCCAAAAAGTTCCTGTTAACATATGCCCTAAAACGCACCCTTAGGAAGTTATATGCCCTTAAAAGGGGTCAAACAAAACTGTTTTTTTTTCTGTTATTGAGTAAACGGTCGCAAATAAATAGAAAAAAATTTATGGGTCTTACATAACTTTTTACGTTAAATAACATGGGCTACTCCGTTTTTCGACATGCAAATCATATGTGTCCCATTTAGGTTGGTGAAGGGGGTTTTTGGCCCGTAATTTTTTTTATTTCAATTTTTTTACAATTTTCTCTACAGATTTATAAAATCTTAACAGTTTTACGTAAAAAATATTATCTTTGTCCAAATCGATATTTCCAATGGTTTTCGAGTAAATTGAGTTTGAAAATTACTCTGCTCTTTAAGTTATTAGGCCAAAAATTACAAAAATCTGTTTACCATGGCAAATAAAAGACTGACGTTGCCACAACGCTTAACAATTTAAGTTATTGATAAACTGTCAATTGAGCTTTGCAGTGTTTAATTAGTAAAAG